TTTCCGCCACAACAGTTCCTTAACAAGGAAAATATAGCAAAGAAAGCGAGAGGCATATCATGTCTGTTTTTGTTAGAGAAGATGTAAAGGAAGTTGCTGAAAAGTATATCTTGGAACGACGGTGCATAGACATTAAACGATGATATCAGAGTGTTATAAATATTTATGAGGATTCTAGTTGTAATGAAGAAGAAAGAAGACATTATAATCGTTTGATCCTATGCTGCAAGAGGTTGCTTTGATCAAGAAGGGATGAAATATTCTCTATTTTATTGAAAATCTTGAAAGAAACAAATAAAAATATACGAGATGTTGATCTTAGGTCGAATGGTAATGGAATACCTAAAGAAAGGTGTTGATTGCACAAATTTACGTAGCTCATTGAAAGTGAATCCTCCACGTCTCCCACCATCAAAAATAAAATGCACCAAGACTGATCAAATTGTGAAAAATGTACATGCAGAATCACGTAAAAAGGTTACTTTTATCATTAGTTATGCTTTTTTGATATCACCGGTATCTTAAATTTTTGTACGTTTAGTTTTTTATTGAAGGTTTTTGGATTTCAAACTGGTTCTTGACCGTTGGGTTTATCCAATTTTTTTTTTTTTGGTTTAAAACTAAATAACCTTCCTTTGTTCATCCGAATAACTAAAAGGGACCAAAAAGAGTCACCAGACAATGTTGCAGAAAGAAAGCAAAGAAAGGTATTTTTGTTATAAGAATGAGCGTTCAACTTATAAAGTTTTGAATTAATGTTTATTTTATTTTCGTTGAATCGTTATCTAATATCTCAAATCTCTAGGAGCTCTGAGACCAATGGATGATTGAATCTCGTTTGTTGCTATCAAAAAAAAAATAAAAAAATCTCATTCGTAGATTTTCCAACTTGACAATTTTATAAGGTCCACCTTTTCAAAAAAAAAAAAAAAAACTTTATAAGGTCCATGAATCACATCCTTAAAAATTTCCTTACGTTTTCTATTCCCGTAGTCCCACTTTAGCCATGAAGATGTTCTAAACTTTCCAAAAAGAAAAAAAAAAAAGAAAAAGCTTGCTATTGATAAATTTTTCTTTTTCCTAAATGAAATTGCTAATGTATTGATCTTATTATACTTGTTGTCGTGTTGAACCAAGTATCAGATGCAAAAGACTATATTGCCAATTATGTTACTATGTATTTAGGTGATCCAGACTTCTTATTGAAATGAGAGATTTTATTGTTCATGTCTTTATTTGAAAAACTTCATAGCCATTTGGGAAACAAACAAATCTTTCCCTTAATGCGATTTTTTTGTTGAGTAAAAGGGTAAAAGATTATTCTTACAACTAATTATTACAATTACCTGAATCTATTAAATATGAAAAACAAGAAAAAAAAACTATTATCTTATTACCTCAAAAAATAAAAAACTAAATATGATTAAGAGAACGTAAAATTTATTATCACGATGTTCAATTTTGTATAAATCGGTTTTACATTAGATTCTACACGGAAGTTTAAAGGATTTGAAATATTCTAATCATATTTTTTAAAAAGGTAAAATAATAAACATGTATACTTTATTTTTTTAAGTATTGAATCTTGAAGTCTAATACAAATTAAATAATGTAAAAATAAATATTTTTTTTTTCAGATGGACTATAGTGACAAGATTACAATCCTAATTAGTTAATGATATTTTGTGAGAGATGGTTTTAAAATTTCAAGGTCAGGTCTAATACAATTCGTGTAGTGCGCGAAGTTAAAACTAGTAGTAATAATAGGCAAATTATCCAGTATACCCGGGGGCACCGTGCCCCCCTCCTATTTTTTGCACGAGTAGTCCTTATTGTACCTTTTTATCAATCTTTCAATATTTTACAATTTTAGTCCCTGTGACTTTTTTCCTTCTCTTCAAAAAAAACAGCTCTAATCTTTCAACGAGCATATCTTCCAATCCGTGAAGAATTTGTGAACGAATTATACATGAAATTTATAGTACTCGTCGAGATCTATCCAACGAAATCCATTTCGAATATTTTTTTTGAGTTTAAAAATGACTAAATTTTGATGGGCAGAATAAGTTGGATATCCAGTAAGTTGGATAACCAGTATGCACGAGTTGGATAACCAGTATGAACACAGTGGATAACCAGTTCAAACAATTTGGATAACCATGTAAATCCATTGGATAACCAGCATTAGCGCATTGGATAATCCAATACAAACCAATGATTGGATAACCAATACAAACGAGTTGGATAACCAACTTAGTTTATTATTTTTTAAAAAAATTAAAAAAAAACAGGTTGGATAAATAATACTAATTAGTTGGATAAACAGTATTAACATAAATAATCAAGATGGATAACCAACTTATTTTACATTCATATTATTCTTTTCCTTGTATCTAATGATTCGTAAAGAATTATAACACGAATTATATATGAAATTTATAGTACTCGATGAGATCTATCCACTAAGATCCATGCCGAATATTTTTTTTGAACTTTAAATGCATTTAAACTTTACGGGCAGAAAATGAAAAAATGCGTTTTTCGTTTTTCTTTGAAAAATGGTTATCCAATCGGCTTGGACTGATTATCCATTATGTTCGTACTTGTTATCCAATCATATGTTTGACATTCACTCTTCAAAAAAAAAAAAAAAGATGGATATCCACCTCTATTCTATTCTGCCCGTCAGAATTAAGTCATTTTTAAGTCCGAAAAAATGTTCACTGTGGATTTCGTTGGGTAGATCTCGACGAGTACTATAAATTTCATATATAATTCGTTCACAAATTCTTCACGGATTGGGAGATATGCTCGTTGAAAGATTAGAGTTGGATATGCATGAACACAGTGGATATCCAGTACAAACAAGTTGGATAATCAGCATGAACACAGTGGATAACCAGTATTAGCGCATTGGATAATCAATATGAACATATTGGATAACCAGTTCAAACAATTTGGATAACCAGTATTACCGCATTGGATAATCAATATGAACACAGTGGATATCCAGTTTGAGAAGATGGATAACCAACTTATTTCGCATTCATATTGTTGTGTTCCTTGTATCTTTTGATTCGTAAAGAATTATAACACGAATTATATATGAAATTTATAGTGTTCGACGAGATCTATCCGATAAGATCCATGTTGATTATTTTTTTGAACTTTAAATGCATTTAAATTTTACGGGCAGAAATGAAGAAACGTGTTTTTTATTTTTCTTTGAAAAATGGTTATTCGTTGTGTTCTTACTGATTATCCAACAGGTTTGGAGTGATTATCCATTATGTTCGTACTTGTTATCCAATCATATGTTTGACATTCACTCTTCAAAAAAAAAAAAATGGATAACCACCTCTATTCTATTCTGCCTGTCAGAATTAAGTCATTTTTAAGCCCGAAAAAATGTTCACTGTGGATTTCGTTGAATAGATCTCGACGAGTACTATAAATTTCATATATAATTCGTTCACAAATTCTTCACGGATTGGGAGATATGCTCGTTGAAAGATTAGAGTTGGATATGCATACAAACCAAATGGATGGATATCCAGTACAAACAAGTTGGATAATCAGCATGAACACAGTGGATAACCAGTACAAATAATTTGAATAAGCATGTAAGTCCATTGGATAACCAGTATTAGTGCATTGGATAATCAACATGAACACATTGGATATCCAGTTTAAGAAGATGGATAACCAACTTATTTTGAATTAAGAATTTGGATAACCAAATGGATAAGCAGTAGAAACAAAATGGATAACCAGTTCAAACCGATTGGATAATTAGCATGAACACGATGGATAACTAATTTAGAACAAGTTGGTTATCCAACTTGTTTGTACTGGATATCCAACTTAATTCTGCCCAAAGAAATTTGATCATTTTTAAGTTGGAAAAAAATATTGGATATGGATCTTGTTGAATAGATCTCGACGAGTACTATAAATTTCATATATAAATCGTTCACAAATTCTTCACGGATTATGAGATATGGTCGTTGAAAGATTAGAGCTGTTTTTTTTTGGAAGAGAAGGAAAAAAGTCACAGGGACTAAAATTAGAAAATATTGAAAGATTGATAAAAAGGTACAATAAGGACTACTCGTGCAAAAAAATAGGAGGGAGGCACGGTGCCCCCGGGTATACTGGATACAGCCTCGTAATAATACTAATAGAGAATACTTCCTCCTTCCGATATGATTGTCCAATATGAATTTTTATTTAATTTTAATATACACTATATAAAAATTAAAATTCCAAACACGACACCAATTTTGAAACAGAAGAGTAATAATTTTACTTTGTGGTCAGGAAAAAAAATACTACAGTAGAACATCTATAAATTAATAACATCTCCCAAGTCGGGACCAATATAAAAAAATAAAAGTAATCAATAAAATAATAAGATAATAATTTTCAGAAAGATCTTATGTAAATATAGGTCCCGCCAATATTATAAATTAATAATGACTTGAAATATAAAAAAAATTAGGTATTGTAACATATGAATCTAGTAACGTATGTTCTTTTTCTTAAATCTACATCTAAGGAGATTTCATCTTTGATTTTTTTTTTTCCATTACTTTAAAAAAAACTTTGGTGTATATTTTTCATATTACAATAAAAAAAATCCAAAAAATTATTATCCCATTAAGTGTTTCGTTTAGTGTAATTTGTTTCGATAATACTGAATCATCACCGTTTTTTTACTAAGTCGAAGTTACAGCGACAGTAGCTACAATGTCTTCAAAGATTTTATTATCTGATTGTTAATTTAATCGATAAATTAGTAATTATTAATTTATCGATAACTTGATATATCTATAAATTAATAATTTTTTAGGCTCATAACTGTATTAATTTATTGATGTTTCACTGTAAAATGACTAATTTCTCCAATAACTGGATTCCTTTTTTTTTTCTTTTTTCTTTTTTTTTTTTTAAAAAGAAAACCTAGGCAAATGCAATTAATTACACACCATGCCTTCGAACGAGTTCAATGATTTCAAATTGGAAAAATGCCAAAAATCCGAAAGAGAAAACAAGCCCAGGAAAAAACTTCATCACCATTCCCCGACCATCCACGACCCACGCCGGAAGAATGCCGAGCCGTCAGAGATGCCCTTTTGGAGCTCCATGGTTTTCCCCAAGAATTCGTGGAGTACCGTAACCTAAGAGCAAATGTTGCTGCTTCTGAGAACTCTTTGTTACCGGAAAATGATTCTGGGAATCCATCCAAAGAGACTGTGCTGGATGGTTTAGTAAGCACTATACTGTCACAGAACACCACTGAGGTTAACTCTCGTAGGGCATTTGCTTCTCTCAAGTCTGCTTTCCCCACTTGGGAAGATGTAAGCTTCTGAAAGGCGCTTCCTCGATTGGTTTTTCGGATTCGTTGAATTGGTGTTCTTTTCGTTACATTATGTTCTTTTGATTGGTTCTTTTGTTTGCATACAAAACAGATTTTTCTGTTTCACCTAATTCGTGAATCGTGATTTGCGACATGCAATTATTGAGTAATTAGTGTTCTAGAGTTTCAGGATGACAATGATTATTGCATGAGCAAATTGCGCTTGTTTGACATAGCCTCTTCTCGAGGTGGTTGTATTTATAGTTCGTGATGACATTTAAGTGGTCTGATTTTTCTTCTTGCTTATTCTTGTTTCTATATGATGAATACGTTTTAGACCTTCTATGGTTTGTGGAGTGATAAAGTTGTGGAAGAGTTTCTTGCTACTAATTTAATTGAACATTTTTCTGAAATTGCCTACTTCTCAAGGTCTGGTCTTTCTGCTGGCCAAAAGAGGCACACTAAAATGGTCTCTCCATTCTATAATTCTTGATAGTTGATGTGTGAACCTTTGCTTCCGTAGAAAATCTTTTGGAGTTTCAAGGAGTTGTTCCTTTTGCTTGGACTTCAGTTTAAGCAGCTTCTGGAAGCTCTTTCATCATTTGATGTGATAATCACTTATCACACCTTCAACTCTATTTTAGTCAGACGATTTATTGAAATAATGTGTGGGCTTTGTGCATTATATTAATCTACCTCATTGATACCTATAATTAACATTGCCAAAACTTTTACTCACGGGCTTTGTAAAATGTTCAGGTTCTTGCTGCTGGGTCTAGGCATCTTGAGGATGCCATAAGATGCGGAGGTCTGGCACCGACTAAGGCTTCTTGCATAAAAAATATATTGAATTGCCTGTTACAGAAAAGAGGAAAGTTATGCTTGGAGCACTTGAGACACTTATCTGTTGACGAAGTCAAAGCAGAGCTGGCCCAGTTCAAAGGAATTGGTCCAAAAACGGTAATGCAATACCTATACCATCAGATATTTTCAAGCTAGAAGTTGTGATTAACCATGGACTGGATTAAGTTAGACATGAAAAATCTAATTGCGATTATCAGCTGTGTCTTGAATCTGTTCAATAATTTCGTGAAGCAGAAACCTAATAAATGTTGTAACTACTGAACTTTGCCAGTAATTCTTTGTTCTCACCTTTTAATGTTTCTTGCCCTTCATCATTCTTTTAAGCTTCTTCTGATCTTTGTATATGAATTATGAAGGATGTAATCTGACGATTGAAGTAACATTGTCTATGATATTCTTCAAGAATTGATCCTTACCATGCCTAAGTAGCTAACAACAAGTTTGTACTTTGTCACATAAATAAAAACTAGTAGGAAGGGTCACATACCGTGTCTGCGTCGGTAGCCTAAATGAAGGGACACGAAATTTAGCTGACTGTCCTAGTTCTAGCCAAGCTCCTACATTGCCCCAACATGCTATGTGTATTGGTGGTGGTATGGAATGCATGTGGGGCATGGTCAAAGAAAATTTTCACCTTGGACTTTGTTTTGATTCTTAACCAACACTTACATTTAAAGATGAGTTGAATTCAATCGACATTAAAGAGTACAGAAATCTCCTTCACTAAGATTTAAGAGTCTTGTGGCTCATGTAACATAACTAGGATTGTGATTGTCTCAGTTGTTATCTAGGCATATACTTCTACATGATTCTCGATCTTATAACATCTCTCCCGCCTAATCTTCATTAGAAAGACTATGGAGTTAGTTGTAAAGTACCTAAATTGACATAGATTAGTTAGAAGATTTCTGTCCCTATTCTCCGGTTTTTTGCTGTCCCCATAACTTGAATTTAGAAGATCTATAGCTCCGACACCATCATTGAGTTCATGTTATGTTGCAGTTTAGTTTTCTTTTTAATGTTTTGGTGGTATTCACTTGGACTCGTAGGCGGATGTCAAAAAACCATAAAAAAATTCAATGTATTCATCGAACAAAAACATTGTAGTTAATGTCTTAACTTGCCAGCTTGTAGACAAAGTATGCAAGACATATGTGTACAATTCCCCAGAATTTGGGGTTGGTAAGATAGAAGAAATTCTGTAACCTCAGAATAAAAATAAGGATGGCTAGCAATAGCATCTCCTGTGATGGATATTGCTGGATGTATTGGACGAAGAAATATATCAATTTTAACTTGGTAATGTGGTTTGCTTCATCATTCATTTGATGCATAATTAAATTGGTATTCCTTATTAAATGGTCCAACTTTAACTCTTTTTTCATGAATGAGTTAAAATGACTTTCTATGGGACCGCATTGGCATTTTCTTATGATGAGAGAACAGGATCAATTGAATTGGTATTGACTGCATATGGTATTGTGGCTAGAATGAACAACTCTTGAGTTGAACGGGTCACTTTTCTGCTATAATTGTGGGCAGTTTGCAAGATTTTGGGTTTTCTTGGCCTCTTATGATCCTTTCTAACCTCCTTATGTGCTGCTGCTGCATGCTTGGAGCTCTACACCTGGTTTTCTGTCCTGCTGCAACTGTCACTTTGCTCTATCTTGACTTTCTTACTCAATGGCTGGTTTAATGATATGAGGGCAACAATAAAATAATTTATGGTACTTAGGTCACATCTTAGCAAGTGTGCTATTTTTTCCATCTTTTTCTTTGGAAGAGCTTGGACATTGAATTTGTGTTCTTCCTTTTACTCAAAGAACAGTTGTTAAGGCTGCTGGGTAGTCTGTGGTGCATCCACCAGCACTACTCTGTGAAACTTTGGCATAGAATGTTATGGTTGCTATATCTGCATTTATGTTTGAATAGCGCTAGTGTGACCAGTGCTTAGTGTGTAGAATTTGAGCCTTTTTACTTTATCATTCTATTAGCTTTTGTGTGTGTGTGTGTGTGTGTGTGTGTGTGCACGCGCGTGTGTATTTAAACAGCTAGTCTTGCATTAAGCGTACCGTTCATGTTCATTCTCCTTGATCACCTTTTAATTGGGCATATTTTCTAGATATATTTTCTTGCACTTTCTGCAAGTGTAGCCATGACAAATATGGAGGGTTAGTTGTATTTGAACTTCATATCTAAAACATTAATTGATGAAAAGGCCAAAGAACCTTTGATGTCTGAAGAGAATTTGCATGAATCTGTTAGTTAAGAACCTGCAATCATCATATGTTATGGTTTCTTATTCAGATGAAGTTGGCTTGACTCATGAATAATGTCCGGATTGAAACTTATAAAGAGGAGTGGTTATTTGATTTGATTAAATTTAATGTGGCATGGTTATTTGATTTGGTTAAAATTTAAGGTGGCATGGTTTTCTTATTTCATTACAGGTTGCTTGCGTCTTGATGTTTCATCTTCAAAAAGATGATTTTCCTGTGGACACTCATGTGAGTTTCTTGTTTTACAATACATATGATGTTCTTTTTCTGGAGTTTATTTCAATCATTTCATAGTTGTAAGTAGTAATGAGCAACACCTACTGCCGAGCCGCCAATAAAATTATTGCAGTTCATGTTCTTTCTTGAGGAACTATTGTTTATTTTTAACATTGCTGTAACCTTAACTGTTGAATCCTGTTTCTTAACAGGGAAGCTCGCTAACTGCATGCTATTTGTATACACTCAAAGCATTTTCTTATCATAGCATATCATTTTAGGTTTTCCATATTGCTAAGAGGATTGGCTGGATACCTGCCGTGGCAGATGTGAAAAGGACTTATATTCATCTGAATTGTCGGATTCCAAACAGCCTAAAGTTTGACTTGAATTGTCTCCTGTACATCCATGGTAAGCTTTGTGAGCAGTGTTCGAGAAAAGGAAATCACGGTGAAGGAAAGAAACGTAATGGCGAAAGTTGCCCATTACTTACCCGGGATCATTCTCATTTTTGCCTGACAAACTCAAAATAATCATAGAGGAGACGGGCGGTTGGAATGTTTTCCACTGGGTCGTAATTCTCATCAAATGAGCACTTTGGAAACAATGGTTTAGGTCAATTGATGCTTGGAGTGATAGGTGCAGAATTTTGAAGGGCGAGGGAGAAGTTTAGGATTACAGCCCTCTAAGGTGGCATGTTTTGCCACTGCTACTGTAGGCTTAGTAGACATATGGACAAGTCTATTTATTCCCATCCCAAATGGATGATTTATAACCTAAGCATATTGCTTCCAAAACAAAAAAAAAATATAAAAAGGAAATGGCACTAAAGGAAACAGTTGCTAATTTGGAATTTACTTCCTTTCAGATTTTTGTTACTATTGGCATGTTTGAAAATCTGTAGATATCTCTCTATACCAATGTCAGACTCCCCTTAAAAATCTCCTCACCCAATGCCAAAACACATATTCCGGTTTTAATTCACCGAACCAATTTTTTTTTAAGGCTAATAATATTGCCAGCACAAAAAATAGGATCCAGAGTAATTTTTTTCATTAAATGACAAAATTTCCGGATCACCGCTACTTGGCACTCGATTCAAATCATAGAATGCACTACCTTCGAACCACAATATATTATACGAAATTCTAAGCAACCTGGATGAAGCACACCATTCGCAGACAACAATCAAGACAAATGTTTCTTAAGAAGCTGTAAGGTCGAAGGTGGGGGGCAGAGAGATGGATGGCAACTTTGCATTGTTCGGGATTTGGTAGGGGAATTGTATAGTTCGTAGGGAGGTCAGAGCTAATTGTTTCCAAATTTAATCAAGTATTATATCTCGTGAAGCAAATATTGTTTTTTTCCTCTGACCACTGGCAAAATATTTACTCCAACACAAATTTAATTATTTCTCTTATTATTGATCCTTTGCTATCCAATCAATTGTCGTTCGTCAATCATCCGCGTATAACTAATTAATTACAGTTAGCACTGCTTTGCTCATTACCAATCTTGAACAAAAGTATAATTTCATTCCCATATTCAAATTTGTCCAAAAAATATATAACCCAATTTCATAAAAGTCAAAATTAATTTCATTACGATAAGCATATAGTCCAATCTCATAAATAACATTGTTTGGGTTAGGAACAAATTAAAATAGGACACGAAATTTCTAAACAACTCGATTCTGAATTTCTAATAGTAAGGATTCCATTAGACAGCTCCTTTGTTTACACGTACCACATGTTCAACCAATCATTGGCTGCGGTGCAGATGCCAAAATATCCAGCAGCGAGTTCTGTGGTTCCAATTCTTCATGCCACAGAGGAAGAGAGTCACAGGGGTAGAATTTTCTTGATGCCCCTTCAGAGTTAATCTGCAGAAAGAGAAATTTGATTTAACAAATTGAGGTTTGATTATAAAACTGAGAGATAAGAACAAGACGAATATATGCTGTCCAGAAGTCATATGAGTGACTATTTTCATACTGAATTTCCACAGTAACTCAGATGGCATGGATCCATTTGCAACAAATCAAGTCATTTGGTAACTATGTCAACCAAGTAACTACAACCTTCACTATTTAAGAAGAAAATCAGGATATTAAGTCTAAAAGCCATTATCTTTTAGTAAAAAAGAAAGTGAGTTTGGTGTGAAGAATGCGAAGTCTAAAAGCCATTACTTTTAGAATACGAAATCCAAAAGCCATTACTTTTAGATAATACCCTTAGTACAATCATTTAACTGCCATCAGAAGGGATGGAAAACAAAAGATTATTTCACTGTCTTACTCCAATACAAAAGGTAGACATCAACGCCCTAGCGCAATTCCCAAAACATCATATGGCAGTTCAAAATCACCAGAGGTGATCCCAGATTCAAGTAGGCCCAACCATAAAAGCAGCTTAAGACGTAGAAAAATTCAGGTGAAATATAAGAAATCTGACTACATCCGAAAATAATTTAATCTTTTCCAAAATGGTTTATTTCTAGGATAGCTACCAACAGAACCAAAAGAACTAATGAAGAACCAAGTTTTAGTGCTGGAGAAAAGGTACCCATTGTGAAGGGTTAAACAGAGTACGCACAAGAGTTTGCCTTTAAACAAAAGATTTCAAAAAATTAATGGGTCCCTTTTGACAATCAGACAACATACTAATCAATACTCATGGTGAAAACTTGCCTTGCAAATAGGTCCCAAGAACCACCACCTATAAGTAATGTTGTACACACAATTTCTCAACATATTACAGGTTTATAGCTATATTGAAGTTGTATATTACAGAGCCAATGGCGGAGAAATATCTCAAAATCACAGCAGCATCAACCACCAATGGAGTATAGCTTTAGAAGACTTTCAACTAAAGAGTGATATGAACCTTTGGTATTTTTTATTCAAGAAAGCTACGAGTAACTTTTTGCTAAGTTACTGTGGGAAAAACTCATGCAAGTATCTGAAACAGTCTCCTAATCACTGAGTTTGATGTGAAGATATGATGAGGGGAAAGAAGTTACTCACAGTCACAGTCCGGACTACTCCACCACCGGCACCATCTCTAGTAATGGCAAGAGAGACTGCTTTGACAACCAATTCCTGCAAAAATAATGATTGCATCAGAAAGACATGTAGTAAACCTGCAAAAGACAATTGTGATGGCTCAACAAGAAGCAAAAACCATAATCACGAAGTGGTTAAATGTATATTTGCAATCCTATACATAAAACACGATTGTGATGATAATGCTGCATATGCTATGCTATTACTCTGGTTGGGCTAAAAACAAATTTCAGTTTGGAGACAAAGGAGATATGCCAAACAGAAAAAAATGCAGCACCTTGAAATGACAGACAGGTCCTCTAGTGCTGTTTAATTACCTATCTAGAAAACACCTAAACCTGAAAATAAAACTCAACAATGTTTTTGATGATAATGCCGTTAACTTCAGAAATTGAACATCTTCCGCTGACACAAGCACAAACCTCAGCTTCTTGTTGAGTCATTCCTTCCTTCCATTCTTTGTCAAAAAAACCGTACAAGTATGTGGACCCCGAACCTGTACACATGTGAAAGTAAAGGTCACTAAGTTATATCAACAATCAAACTCCATATTTCAATAAATTTTAAAGTCCACAACTGACTGTTCGGAAAAAAAACGAGTTCTGATAAAAGTTTAATAATGCATTCTTTAACATTGTTCTTTTTAAAAATATATTTTAGTATTTAACAAGCATCAAAAGAAACTACCAAAGAGCAGAAATTGGCTGGCAAAAATAGAAGGCATACCTCCAACACTGAAAGGTTGTTCAATTAGTGTTCCTCCAAGTGGTAAACCATAGATCTTCCCCTCTTCATATTTGTCCCATCCACCAACTATCATTCCAGCTTGTAGCATGTTCTATAAAATTCAATATGATAGATAAGCTAGTGGACTAATTACAGCATGACATTCAAATTTCATATAGTAAGCTATAAACCTAAAATTACTAATTAAAACACAACAAGCGACTTGAACTGCAATATTTTTTTAACCCAGAAAGATCCATTTAGTCCAGAAGATACAACAGGACAGGACATACTAAGCAAAGAGTAGCAAAGAGACAGCAACCCACTTCTTCACATTTAACGAGATCATTACAATCGTCATTCCTGAATCCTCTATTCAGAACTTTCCCAAGCACAAAATATCATATCAATTATAAAACATAAAAGAAAAATGGTTTTCACAATTTAAAAGCAGACTGAACTCCAGTTCCAAAACCCAAAACTAGTAAGAGACTCGTATATAAACTTTGACCTTGTTATTGTATGCAATCAACCTCACGAGATTCGCAGCAACTTTGACTGTTGCAGGTTGCCCAAGCTGAATCCTGCATCAATTACATAATCAAGAATCACATGTTTTTAACAGGCATCAAAAGGCAGAAGCTACATCATAAGATGCTGTTGTTACCCATTATTAGGACCACACGTCTCAGCTATAACACAATATAAGAATTCAACTTATGTGTGTTGATCAAGATAGTAGCGGACATAATCTGAAATAATCTGTGTATCAGCTGCCTGAAATTACAGAGTTTTAGTAAATAAACCAAAGATACACCAAAGAAACTGTTGATATGAAAAGACTAAAGAAGTTACACTCCCACTAGAAAGCACAAAAGTAGAATTAGCAAGATGGCAACATCCAAACCAAGGGGTAGTCAATTGGATATCAAGTCTTGATACTATTGTATCATTTGTCAACGAAAGGATTAATAATGTATACACTCTTAATTCATAACGTTCAATGCATCCAACCTTCAAGTTTAACACTAATATGACACTCCATTTTGAACCCGGGTTTAACATGTACATGATATGTTATCAGCTGAAGTACATCAGTCTTTGTTGATAAGTCCATCATAAGAATGGCTAACTTCAAATCATGATAAAGTAGCCAGCCAAAAGATTTCAGCATGCAACTTCTAATAACTCTAAAACTTTGGCTAACACATTTTGCGAAAGCAAAAATGCTAACGAATACAATCTTCATGCTAAAAGATAGTCCATACCCACAATTATAAAATCATCCAGCACAGAAGAACTGCTTAAGGGCTCTAATTCCTAAAGTACAATTAGTCAAAGAATATAGCTAGCTGAAATAGCTAAGAACGTCACTTTAGAAAGAAACAATGCCCCCAAAGTACAACCTTTTTACCCTTAAAAGAAAGGAAAACCCGATTGGAATTATGTAATTGTAACTCAAACCAAATATGGAATAAAAGTTCTTAAATTCATAATGAAAGCAAATAAAAATAAAAATCAAGAGAAATAACTTACCGATCCAGAGCGGCATATGAACACGTTATCTGTTAGCTGCGTAATTTTGTCGGATGCCCTATTAGCAACATACATACCTAAGCAAAAAAAATTTCCCATGAGAAAAATCATAACAATCTCGAATTATATCTCTCAAGAAACACATTCAAAATAACATAAGAGTGTCGGTTTTCCAAATTACCAGTGCTGGTACGTGAATCTGCTCCGAGCACAACTCCGCCATTGTAGGTAACCCCAATGATGGTAGTTCCCGTGGACACAGGTGAACTGGAATCGAAGGCAGCATCCATTGTTCAGACTGGTGCCCTAATCTCCAAAGTTGACTGTTCTGCCAGCCCTAATCCTCTATCTCCTCCGAAGCTGCTGTTCATCGGCAGATCAGAAGCCTTTTGTTCCAGCTGCGAAAAGGTACGGAGAACAATCAATAGGAATTCCAAAAATATTTCCTGAAGACTGCTAAAAGCTTTTCCGCTTGACAAAAACAGAAAGTCTTTCAGTAAAACCCTGCATTGAACTACATACACATTTCCCTTCCTCTGTAACAAGATTGACAGAATTTTTACTTTCACATTTGAAATTTCTCCACCAGATAAGAATATTGAGGGACACGGCTAGCAACCTTTTTCTGTTTCTAATCAAACAATAATAAAAGAAAAATCCATTCAACAAAATCCCCAGCAGAAGTTCAAAATTATAAGCCGAGGCAGGTTGGCCAATAATAACTAATAGTATTAAAAATAAGAATCTTGGGAAGGCAGATAAACAATTCACAGATACAGTTAAAAGGCTAGAATTAGAATTAAACAAAAAAAGGAAAAGAAAAATCTGCAAGTCCTTGACTTTAAAGCATTGCCAAGACGGAAATTTTATGCTCAACGCAATTGCAAGTATAACAATCAGTAAATCCAAAGAGTATCAACTGAACCTTACAAAACCAAGCAAGGACATGGATTATCAATACCCAATGCAATAACATAAACAACAGACAAGGAACTGAACAATGACAGACGTAGGATTTGAACCTAACGAGAGGAAAAATCAAGTTAGAAACCCCCAAACTCTACGGTTTACTGGCTCAATTGGTTTGGCTTTTCTACGAGTTGCATAAATCAAAAAACAAAAGTTTTGGTGGTTTGAGCGAGGGTTTTTGAGCATAACCTTGATCGCGTCCAACACTTATTAAAACTCCGATCACTCATCTCATCAAAATTAACAACAGCTAACATATATAAAAAAAAAAAGATTATGCAATTCCGGGGAGATAATACTATCAAACTCGGATTCGAAACCCACAATAAAAATTTAAACCAAGGTAAACTCTCCGGAATTTAAACAAAAGTTTGAAGTTGGAAACTTCAGTTAAACCCGAATTCACAAAGTGAAGCTCACCTTTGTCAAATCCACCAGCATGAATTTAAGAGTGGCAGCCGAATCACAGTCGGCCACTCGATAATGATGCTTTTTATTCCGATTAATTTAACAACCATTCAAACGTGCGTTTTGAAAGACTTCGTTCGGGGTAAAATTGGCGGATTCACCCAAAGCTTTACATGCTTCGTCAATTCTACCCTATTTTTTTCCGGTTAGCCAATATTACCCTAAACTATCCAACCGTTAGCTGATTTTTGTCCAATTTGCTATTTTCCGTCTAAATTAACGGAATTCTATTTTTTTAATTATAAAAATACCCTAATAGTTTTAAAAATTTATAAAAATGGCCCTAAAAATTTGCAAAAATTATAAAATAGTCTATTTTCAGTTTTTATTTAAAGTTTTCTATTTTTTATTTCTTTTTACTATTTTTCATAACTATAAAAATATACTATATGATCTTTTAAAAAAAATATTTATTTTTAAACTTTAATGTACAAATTTTAAATTACATATTTGTATGTCATGTTTGATTTTTAATAATATAGTTTTATAATAATGATACTATTTTTTAATCCATTTTTTTCAATCTAAAGAGTAAGATTATTTAATTAATACTAATTTTTCACAAAAAAATTTAACAATTTGCATAGATTAAAAAAGAATTTATTGGTATACTTTAGTGTATTACAATTTAATTCAACTAACTTTAGATTGTATTTTAAAATTTAAAAAGAAATCAAAACTAAAATATAAATTTTTTTTAAAAGGTCAAGTATAGACAGAAAGTAAAAAAAAAAAACAAAAAACACCTATTTCGTTTCTACGTTGGCCCAACACAAGAATATAGTGTCGTGGTATTTACAAAAATGGTACAAAATATTTTATAAAAAAATATGTATATTTATTACTGCGAGGGTTTAACATTTTGTGATAATGTTTTGAGAATTAATATTTCTAACTTAGTAGGAAGTCTTTTTTTTAAAAAAAAATAATTAAAAAAAAAATCTATTCCAGTACTAGACTCCACCTTTTTTTATATTAAAAAAAATTAGATTTCTCCAATGAGAATCGAAGCTCGAACACAGTTTTAATTATCTCATATCTTAAAACACCTAACCATCCAATGCAACCTTCTTACCTTTAGTGGACCCTGCTTAAACGTAGGTAAAATCACTCTCCCGGTTAGAAATACTTTGGTGACAATTAATATTATATCTACTCTCATGAAACTTAACACCTAAACACTAGTCAATACCCTATATTTTAATTTAATAATTTTTTTAATTGGATAATACAATCTATAGTCTGTTTAGTTAATTTGTAATAAATTAAAATGTACTAATATATACTTTTTTAATCTATGCTAAATGTTTTTATTTTTTGTAAAAAATTAATTTTAGTCAAAAAAATCTTATTCTTTAAATTGAAAAAGACGGATTAAAAGAATAATATCATTATTGTCTAGCCATATTATTAAAAATATTAATATGTTTATGTAAATCAATCATGAGTTACAAAATGTATATCTATAAATTTGTACTGTAGTGTTTAAAAATAAATTATTTATTTAAAAGATCATATAGTATATTTTTATGGTTATGAAAAATAGTAAAAAGAAATTAAAAAAAGAAAAATTTAAATAAAAACTGGAAAGAGACTATTTTGTAACTTTTGTAAATTTTTAGGGTTCTTTTTATAAATTTTTAAAACTATTAGGTATTTTTGTAATTAAAACAAATAGAATTCCGTTAATTAGACGGAACATAGCAAATTGGATAAACTCGGCTAACGGTTGAATAATTTAGGTAATATTGGCTAGCCGAAAAAGAATAGGGTAGAATTGACGAGGCATGTAAAGCTTTGGGTAGATCCGCCAATTGTTTCCGGAAATTCTATTATATCCCACTTGATGGTGGGTAAATCGATTTGGACCTTTGGATTAAAGTATATCAACGGCCAGATCTCAATTAAGACTCAATTTTTTTAACTTAATTTCAATTTTTTCACTTAATTTCTTGCTCATTGATTATTTCCAAAAGAACAAAAACTTGCCCGTTGAAACTTTCATTCACTGATTATTTAATTTTTTTAAAAAAATTCTTAGCTGTTGAGACTTTGATTCAAGCGGGATTAGTAATAGTACAGTAGCAATAGTAAAAATTCTAGTTTGTTTTGCATGACCAGAGTAACTAAATCGAATTAAAAAGTTACTTTGCTGTTCCAAAAAAAAAAAAAACCCACACTGTAATATAAATTATAAAATGTACTCATAAAACAATACAGTTATAGAAGAGTAGATATGAATTTCTTCAACTCAAAAGCGAGTTTGAGCAATTAATAAATTTCAATTTAGATTAACACCAACACGGTAACGCGGATGCTTGATCAAAGTCAATCACCTACCAATATTAAACAAAAATTACTCTGAAAATTCAAATTCCTATTTACAAACTTTACAAGTAGTAACAAATTTTCCCAATCTCAATTTTGACTTCAATTTTTACAGCCTAAGCTACAAATGTACACAAAAATAAAATTAATTACAACTTCTTCAGTTCTTCTTCTTCTTCTTCTCTCTCTCTCTCTCTCTCTTTAAAAATTAAATAGGAAAAAAAAACCCCCTACTTCTAATGTAAGAAAAGCTTTACCGAAAAAACGAAAAATCAAAAGGGAGGGTTCTCGGTTTGGTACATATTAAAATCGATTAAAAGCAGAAAGGGACAAAACGGCGCAAAAAAGCACGCAATAATTGCACAATCAGTTCAAAACTCGGTCGAGTTAAGACCCTTTGAATGAGTCGCCGGGACTCGGCACCGAGTCCGGCTGAGTCCGCCGCGCATCACCCCTTCCCAGTCGATTTCTCCGCCGTCCTCCTCCTCATCCCGCCCCCTCAGCGCCACCAATATCCTCCGGGCCTTCTCCTTCGCCCGCTCGCTTCCCCGCTCCACCACGATCTGCAACACCTCCGCCGCCCGGGCTTCTCTGGCCAGCCCCTTAAACCTCATACTCCCGTGACTCAGTAAAAACAGAGCAGCTACGCAGTTCTCCCGAGTTGACTCGGACGGCGTAAAATCGCCTCCGCCCCTCAGAATCGCCACCAAGCATTCCACAGCGTCGCCGTCCAACAACGCCGACCGCCCTTCCGATGATACAGCCAGATTACAAACCACCAAAACCACCCTATCGACCAGAACCCCGGTCCTCAACATCCCTAACAAAACGCCAACAGCTTCGAGCTTAATCAATCTCACTCTGTTACTGTTAACCAGTGTCAAATGGTACAAGGCCAGAGCCGAATCACGGCGAGTTGACTCGGTGCCGGATCTCAAAGCATGTAACAATGGCTGCAAAGCTCCTAACACCCCAATTGCCGTTTTGTTATCATCCTCTAAAGCTAAACTGAAAATCGCGCCGGCGGCGTGTTCTTTCGATTCCTCAAATCCGCCTTTTAATAAATCAATCAAAAGGGGGACAACCCCAGAACGGACAATCTTAATTTTATTCACCTTAGCAAGCGAAAGATTAACAATGGCGGCCGCAGAATTCGTTTGCACGACTGGGTACCTAGAAATAAGCAATGGCTTTATCCCCTGCAGAAGCCTAGGAGTACAGAGTGTTACTCTTGCTTCTTCATCATTTCGCGTGGTTTTCCTCAGTAAAACCACTCCTTGTTCCTGTTCAACGACATCCAAGCTCTTGAATTTCATCAAAAACACTTCGTCCTCCCCGGTTGATGATGAGGAGGGATTAGAACCCATTTCGAAGGAGGTAGAAGCAGAGGAAGACGATGAAGAATAACACGCCGGTTTCTGAGTGAAAGGGAGCATCTGGGGCGTCGAAATCCCGTTCGCAATCACGGATTCTTCTGAGCTGGAGGAGTAATTAATCCGGGCGTTCAGCTCAGTTTCGGCGTGCGAAAAATTCACTCGAGGATTATCTTCAACGCCCTTCAACAACTCCATCTCGGAGAACCGGATTCCCGGGTCTCCTCCTTGATGTTGCTGGGCAGTCAAGTTCCTAACTTTCGATTCAATCGAACTAGAATCCGGTACAGAAGGTAATTCCATGTGGGAATTCCGGCACCAATTGATAATCGAACTCTTGAGCGCTAAATTGGGGATAATAGCTGAAAAATCAGGAACCGACCCGTCGGAAAGAGTCGGGCAAAACCCTAAAACTTTACAGACTTGAACGGAAGCCCGTTCGAACGTTTGACCGGAGGAAACAACAACGGGATCAGCCATTAAAGAGCCAGAAATCGGGCAGAGGAATTCGTTTGGCGGGTCGGGTTTCGGAGGGGTTCTGGGTGAAGAAGCAGAAGAAGAAGAAGATGACTTGTATATCGACATTTTCCATATCCGGAATTTCCCATTTCCAGCCATGGAATCTGTTTAATCCCTTTCCCAGAGGGAAAACAAATTTCCTGGGATTTGAGGGAAAATCTTAGAGGGATAGATGTCGAAATTCCTGGAGATTTTTATTTTCGGTTGTGGATTTTTGAGATTATTTGGGGAGCTTCTCTAACGGAGGAGAGATATTCAGCCATCAAAGACTGGATCTTTTTTGGGTATGTTAAAGAATCTTTTGGAGAGAAGGTCAGTTTCTCTTTTGACTGAGTTTTGAGGTTAAAAGGAAGGAGGATGACGATGTTAAGTTGAAACTTGTCAGAAGCTATCAAAAGTACCAAAAGTTTCTTTTTTTATAAGCGTGTTCCCCATCGAATTTGTTAGTAAAAAAGAAAAAGAATAAAAGGGAAATGATATATACGAAGAATATTTCTATACTAAATACACATAATGAAAAAGATGATGAGTTAGGCGGCACTGTATTTATATAAATATATACAATTATGTTTTTCATTATGTTAACATTTTTAGTATAATAAAGATGTGATTAGGTGGTTTTACAGATAAACTTTTTTCTTTCATTTTTCAGTTAAGATGATATCTTTGGAAAGACTAATTTCATGTTATTTAACTATCACACACAATAAAACTGAATGGTGAAACGAAATGAAATTTTTTAGTTTTCGCCAGCCTTTCAAGAAATGGTACTTCTTGAGTTAAAATTCACAGCATTTTGCATTCTTAGCGCCAACGGTTGAGATAATTAACAGTGGTCAGTGGATATGACTAGACATTTTTATTTATTTTATTCTATTGAAAGAAAATACAAGCTTTATATCACTAATGAGGTGGATAAACTAGTAAGCCATCCATGTAATACAGTTCTTGAATATTTTGTCTACTAATATTACAGAATACAGATTCTACTGTTACATGTATCAAATACAATTACATTTATCTAATTCTTACCTGAAATATTTGTAATCTATTCTTGGCTTTTGTTAAATGTGATAATAAAAACACGTAGTTGTAAACCGCTTGGCTATGTTTGTTTGCTTTTTTTGATGGTTTTTTCAGTTTATTTTACTAATAACTGTCTCATCCCAGCATACTTTTTTTATATTTCTAACACATCTTTTTACATTTCCAATACAGAAAACACCTAAAAACACACACTAGAAAAACGAACCAAACATTTATATTTTGTTTTCCTTTCTTCCATTTATTTATCCCCTTTAGAATAAGGGATAATGGAGAGACTAAAGACCACTACATTTTTATATATTTGCTAAATTGCGAACATTCGACTTTTAAAATGGGCTTATAAAGCATATTTGTTCAGTTGTGCTTGGCTTCTTATACAGCTCTGCAGAGGAGAAAGTTCAAACTCTTTTTACAGTATGCACGTCTTAACATCAATTTTGCATTGAGTCTTTGCGTTGACTATTTTAATTTGCAAATCAGGAGTGCATCTTTTTATCGATGAAGGCATCCTACACTTCAAAAATCAAGATTTGATTGTTAATCTCTGTTCACGGACAACTGAAAAGAGGTCAACACAACATGTATAACAACTAGGCCTTCTTGTCCTCCGGAACATCAAACATGGGTCAACTAGACCTTCCTCCCATTTTAAGTACCGATCAAATAGATTAGATCCTCTGTCGTTATTGTGCTAACAAACACCTTCAGATGTGTTTCTCGATGGATTTGATTCTCATTTCCCAGAAAAAGTAAAAAATCAGTGCACTAACTAGAAGTGGAAAAGCATCGACACAGCAGGTACATATTGGCAGAGCCACTAGTGTGTGAAGAGGAAACAGAGAAACCATTCAAAGATTGCACATTATTATAGCATTTTGTCCGCTCATAAAAGAGTTCTCTTTCTACAATTTACAATGAACCTCAACTATGCAAGCTACACTCACAAGTACAAGTGAAAGAATGAAGTTTAGCACTTAGAGAGGCAACTTTCCTGGTATACCTGGATCACGAGGATATTTTTTCGGCGTAGAACCCTCTTTCAGACAAACAATGGCAGTTCTTTGTCCTAACTTGCTGTGTGATTTCACTACAATCAGGCAAACAAGAATACAAGTAAACTGAGATTTATGCCCAACAACTGCAAAAGCAGAGAGAAAATCTAGTATGACTGTTGATGCAAACATAGACAACTATGTTGTCAATCAAACAACTACCATGTGGTCACAAGATTGACACACTGCAAAAGCTGGAGTAGCATAAGTAATTTATGATATAGGGCAACATGCCAAACAAATCCTAAATAACATCAATAAGATACCATTGAAAGCATGAGTAATGATATTGCTTTCCACTGCGGTAAGAATGTAAACAAAGTTCTGGGATAATGATAAGCAAGGCAACAAACCAGTGAATGTTGGCAACAGTGAAGCACCCATCAACTTAATAGCTCTTTCTGCTCTTTTGACCTCTTCCTGTTTTTAGATCATACAAAACCATTGTTAGTGCCAATATGTACCAAATACCCGACAAGGAGGGTTATCACATCTAGGATACATTAAAGAGGAAATGGAAGAGATCATCAAGCACTAACGGTGAATATGCATATGAAAAGGAAGCGCAAATTTTATAAGAATGAGGTATTGTCAAACAAAAAGTCACCTAAATTGATTCCTTTTCCAATGCTCCAATAAGTAGAATCTTAGACAGGGATGTAGAAGAAGTTGCCTTCGATATTTTCTTGGAGGATGGAAGCATGACTCACAGAAACATATTCAAGCTTAAATGTGTAAGACTACTATTAGCCTCCAACATCCAGTGTACATGACAGCTATTTGTTACTTACTGAGAGAGGATATGCTGTTAGTTTGTTTTCTCCTGATGATATCAAACAAGATTATCCACTCCAATGTGATCATGAACGTTAAATTCAATTGTATTCAAAATTAAATGAACTGCTGTGGGGATAAAGCACTATTGATGATAGGGCAGGCCCAGTGGAAATGGTGTTTAGCAAAGGCAATAAGAACCCAGTAGTCTTTCGCAAATATTATCCGTTTTTTTCCAGTTTTTTTCATTATCATTATAGAAGATATCCAACTGAATCGAAACATTATTCCCTTTTTCCTTTCCTATTTCAAAAGCTTTCGTTTCCTGGTTTAATAAAAGGCATGTTACACTAAACTTTCTCTTTCTTCTACAGCAAGTTACCTAATTATTTCAAAACTTTCGTTTAACTTTAAATTGGAACAACTAGATAGCATCACAATGTTGTGAATTATCAGTTACCAAGTTTACTTCAATCTGTTGTAAATATACTGAAAAAATTTACTCCAATATGCACAATATTTGACGAAAGCTACAAGCAGCAGAACTTATTTACAACCACAACTGTTCTAACAAGCACATGACCCAAACTCTCTGTCCCTTGAGGACTTCATTTGACCATAATGTTGAGGAACCATATGCCATCAAGTATTTTGTGTAATAGTGAAACAGAAAATATCACTTTTAATAATTTTATTTTTAAAATATCATCTTCAAAAAGGTAGAAGGTAGTTGATGTACACCTGAGGATCATGACCCTTTGCGGCTACAAATAAGCCACCCACACGTACTAGAGGAAGACAGTACTCAGCTGAAATTCAAAGAGCTCAAATCTGAATGAATAGGGTAATAGTCGGCAGTTCAAGCCTAAAATTAAAAGATACATATAACAGGAGGTATGTGGCCAAAGACACGTGGAAGAGAGAAAATTTGGAAGTGAAAACATTCCATTTGCAAACTTTTCTTTTATATGCATGTTTACTACTTTCACTTACCTAAGATTCTCATTTCTGCAACTGCTCTTGCTACTGCTATGTCAAATACCTCTCTTAAGCCAGGTTTATGCCCCAAGTTCTGAACTAAACAAAAGTCAAGAAGATGCCATTTATCAATAGATGGAAAGCAGAATCAGAAATACCGATTCAAGGGATCTTAAAGGCATTTTCTCCCCAGTTCTGCCACCAAGAAAAGAATGCATTGGGTGTGCATAAAAAGGGGGGAAAGGAACTGTAATGTCTAGTCAAAAAACATATGGAGGAATATATTACATCGAAAAGATTAATGGAATTTCATTGACATAAATCTCTCGAGCTAGATGAGTAAATGAATAGGCTAAACAGAGATGACATATGATCCATACAACAGCTGTATTCTTCTGGTACGTCCACGAGTCATTTTATATTCATAAAACTCAAAAGACAGCTTGGAATCCAATCTTACTTGGGTTTGATGCAATGGCCAAAATCTTGACAACCCAGATTGTCCACTCTCCTAGCCCTTTGTGTAAGTACTCTTGACCTCTCAGGTTTACTCTCCTAATTCATAAGTTCAGCTGCTCATTTCTGGAGACTCCTAATCAGTAAAATTATCTGGTTATATAGATTTGGTTCATCCTCAAGAAGACAAATCTTCCTTATAAGTTATATAAGGGCATGGCCTTGATGGTCTTTCTATTTCTAATCATGTTCTTAGGCTTATAGCCTACACCAAGCATTTTTATATGTTTTCTATCGGCCTCTCCGATAAATATACTCCGTAAAACCTGCTGTGCTTACGTTGCTATCATGCTATTTCAATACAGGTGTCATCTTTTAAGTTGCAATAAGCAATATAAATTATCAGTACTTTTTTTCCAATTTATTTTATGTCTTTGTTTTCCTTTTAATTTGAGTTAAGAATATATTTTCCAACTTCACTAAGGCAGGCATCTGAAGTATATTTAACAACATGTCAAAACCATATACACATGGCTGTCAATCATTTTCACAACAATCAGTGCCAGCCACCCCATTTTCTTGATCCCACTTTATTACGACTGTGCTCATTACTAATTTCATTAGAGGTACTACGCCAAATAATTCCATTAAATGAAGACCAAGATGGAAGTTAAGGCAAAAAAGAACTTTACAAGTTATAGAATACTGAAATGTTCCAGAATCAAAGCACTTGCTAAACTGTTTAACATCAACATCAACATGAACATACCCAGTATATTTCTAACTAAGTTGAAGGAAATATCTTAGCACCCTCTTACAGAATCGACAACCAACCCAGGGATTATCAATGAACCTTTAGTTGGGAACCATAACATTATGACAGTTGGGCACAGTTTCCCGTTGGATATCATCAAGTTACAAATCAAACAGAGTAAAACTTTCAAGTTTCCACTCAACAAGCTACACTCTTCCATTCCTACATATTTTAATCCAACTAAAATTTCTCAAAATTTAAATCAAACATCAGTCACAGGGAGGAGGTTTCAGATTTCAGACAATTCAGCAACACTTCAAATAACCAAAACTGATCAAAATTAAATGTGTGAAGCAGTTAATCACATCACCTCGGCTCTTTCTCTGATAACTTGCACGTTAGACAAACCAGTAACACTAACTGCATGCTCCAAGAAGTCGCAACGCTTACGCATAGACTCCAGAAGCGTCAGTTTCCAACCTTTCAACAAGTATAACAGTAGTTTAAATATGCGAGCAACTAAATCATCATCTCATCTTAATAACTCAAAGCAGGAGAAATCATTGTAGACATTCCAAACAGTAATCATTCCATTTCGACAGTTTAAAAAAAAAAAAAAAGAAGCTAAAATTTACCTGGGCAAGCAATAGCTAGAATGACACCTGGAAGGCCAGCCCCAGTTCCGACATCGATAAGATTCAAATTTTCACATGAAGTCCCACAATGTGAGAGATAAGAGCTCGTGATGGGTTCTATGATGGCTAGCGAGTCCTCCACATGCCTTTCCATTGCCTCATTTTCGTCTTTAACAGCCGTAAGATTCATCTTCTGCATTAAAATTCAACAAAATCATCAATTAAATCACGTATAGAAAAGAAAAAAGGAAAAAATTCAAGTTCAGAGGAGGGTAGCACCAGAACCTGATTCCATTGAAGGAGGGAGTGAATGTAGAGCTCCACTTGTTGCTGTTGTGTAGAAGTCAAGGTATGGAGTAGGGATGTTTCACGTGTTGCAGTTGTGGTGAATGACTGTGGTTTTCGTCCATTGGAATTGAATTTGAATGTGAAAGAGAAGAAGGGACGTGAAGGAGAAGTTGGATGGTGTTTGACAAAATACCCCAAAGAAAACGGAGCAATACTGACCCTGCAAATTCTACTACGCCCGGGTAGAATCATCCTTTCGGGTAGAAAAATGCTTGAGTTTCGGGTCTCCGTAGTGTACTACATATTGGAGTATTTCCTTTTCTTTTCTTATCTCTTAAAAAAAAAAAATACCGAAAGCAACTTACGTCTCACGTTAACAAAAGACTGTACATTACGATTACATGATGCAGCCCTAGTAGTTAGGACATGCGAGTCAAATACCTTAGACCTAAAAACATGATAAGGAAAATCATGTTTATAATGATAAGGAAAATCATGTACTATCTAATGCTTATTTGTTCTCTTGTGAATGCACGTATAAAATTTAGAGCAAAAAGATAATATCACCATACAAAGGCAAAAAAGAACTTTTAAAAAAATCTGCATAAAAAGACAATAGATTTGATATAGGCATACATGTGCGACCAATTTGAAAGAACACACATATATTTATGTATTGGCAAAAACTGGCAACTATGCAACCAATAACTTTGACAGATAAGTATATCTCAATTTGTGTGCCAAAAATTAAAAAAAAGGGCAATAATAATAATAATAATAATAATAATAATAATAATAATAAATGGATGGCACTTTTTTTGCTTGCATGATAAAAAGAAAAGATAAAAGTCACATAGCTTTTTCCAATGTTGAAGATTGGGCTATCCAATTGAGGATAAAAGAAATCAAATAAATTGACAACAACTTTAATTAATGCAAGTTTTTGTATATTTAAATTTGTGTGTCAAAAACTGAAGAAAAAAGGTTTTGAAAAAAAAAAGAAGATAACAAACGGATGGAACTTTTTTGCTTGCGTGATTATAAAAAAAAAGAAGAAGAAGAAGAAGACAAAAGCAACAAAATTTTTTCGCTGTAGATTGGATTATCCAATTGAGAATAAAAAAGTCAAATAAACAGTTCAAATGGTAAGGAAATCTATTGAAAGGTGGAAATGATGATAATAAATAGTACATTATCCAATTTATTGATCGTCTTTTTCCTGTATTTTTCCTATAAATAGCTACGAAGCAAACAATTGACTGCCTAAGTTTTTTTTTTGCGTGAATTAATATTTTCTCTATTTTGGCAACAAAACAAGAAAACTTCAGATGTCTAAATTTGTCTTCCGATCTGCTGGATACACTATCGCTGAAGACATTGTCCTTGTTGAGACTTACATTTATGTTACACAAAATCTAATTATTGGGAAGTATCAATCACACGATGAATTTTGCAGGAGAGTTTTGCATGAATATTGTAATGCGAGGAGGAGTAAAATAGTATTTAGTCATGTTTTAATTATTTAATTATGTTTTACTGTAGGTTAATTAGTTAGTTATTTAAGTCATGTAATGGAATAGTGACGTTGCACTATTAGAAGTAGTGGTTAGTTATCCTACTTTGTAGCATTAGAAATCTATTTATATGTTGTGATCATATTTTAAAGAAAGAAGAAGAAATTAATGAAAAAATAGCTTTTTAGCTGGAACTCTACCTCTCTCTATTTTCTGGAGTTTGATCCGACTCGAATAGGATCGTTACATTGGTGCTTTCTTGGAGAGAATTTTTTTTTCCCTTTTTGAGAAGCATCATGACTTCGAGGGATAGATTAGTCACCCATCTTTCTGAAAGCATCAAAGAAATTCAAGTTCAACAAGTTCGACCGAAAAATATCAATCAACAAATTCTATCTAAACTTGAATCTCTATTAACCATGCTTCAGAATCTCACCCACCGAGTAAACAACCTTTCACCTCTGCCGGTTCCACCAACACCCTCCATCATTATGGCAATGACCACATCACAACCGACGCTGACGATCACCACCACTACTGCAGCACCAACAAACGTCGTCACCTCCATCCAAAGCCTCCCAATCACCCCTCCTATCACCACTACAGGCACAACCCCTTTAATGAAACCAATTCCAAAATAAATGCCGCGCCCCATCACCACCCTACCAATTCCTACCACCATCAAAGTACCAACTTTAACACCAAAATCTATCTCTCCACCGTTCCATATCCCAACCAAATCCGTCTCCCCAATCAACCCACCCAAAATTCACAATAGTTCTATTGATCAGAAAAGAATTTTTATTTACAAACTTTTTGTTGGCCCTTCAGTTCCCTTTGCTCGGGTTTGTCACTTTTAAACTATATTGATTTCAACCTCATCACTCATACCTCCAACCCAACATCACTGGTAGCATAAGCAATTAATTTTAGACATGTAAAAGTAGGAGACTTTGTCGAGATACGACAAGTTCTTCTGACTTAGAATAAGAAAATTGTATTGAATTCATGATCATGTTATGTACAATATACAGACTATATATAGACAATAACAAACCCTAAACAAGGACATTATAGGAAATATACTAAATATTACAATACGCCTCTGCAAACTTACGGCAGAGAAGAGAGAAGCCGAAGTTTGTCCCCGAATCGAAAGAATAATTCTTTGGACAGGGGTTTTGTCAAAATATCAGCAAGTTGATCAGCAGCAGAGATAGACTTGACCGAAACAAACTTTCGCCGAACATGATCTCGAACAAAGTGAAAATCAACCTCAACATATCTGGTACGAGCATGGAACACAGGATTGACAGCAAGGAAAACTGCACTACTGTTGTCACACCAAATAGAGGGAGGGCGATGTAAAGAAACGCCTAACTCAGACAACAGATGACACACCCAATGCAGTTCAACACAGACATTAGCAACCGCATGAAACTCAGCCTCAGTAGACAATCGAGCCACAGTGGGCTGCTTCCGAGATGCCCAGGCAATAAGATTAGGTCCCAAATAAATGAGAAAACCAGTAGTAGAACGACGATCATCCGGACAACCAGCCCAATCAGCATCACTAAAGGCAGTAAGAGTGCCCAAATCTGTAGGATGCAGAACTAAACAGAAATCAACGGTACCAGGAAGATAGCGAAGAACCCGTTTGAGAGCCTGAAAGTGAGAAGTGCGAGGCTGATGCATGAACTGACACAGCTTATTAACGGCAAAGGAGATATCTGGACGAGTAAGAGTGATATACTGCAAACTGCCACACAGCCGGTGATAAGTAGTCGCATCATCAGGACACAACAGAGTACCATCCAAACGGGACAACACAACATTAGCCTGCAAAGGAGTGGAAATAGGTTTGCAAGTATGCATATTTGCAAGTCGTAGTAAATCAGTGACATACTTGCGCTGAGAGAGAAGCAAACCCTTGGAAGTACGACGAACCTCGACCCCAAGAAAGTAACTCAATGGATCTAAATCCCGAAGAGAAAACTCCTTAGCAAGACAAGAGATAAAATGCTAGACCAAACCAGAAGTGCTGCCTGTAAGAATAATGTCATCCACATAGACCAACAAAAAACACAACTGAGACCCAAGGCGATAGACAAAGAGGGAAGGATCACAACGAGACTCCACAAAACCCAAGGTAAGCAGAAATGCTGCCAGCCGAGAATACCAGGCCCGAGGAGCTTGCTTAAGACCATATAAGGACTTATGCAGTTTACACACATAATGAGGGCGCACCGGATCAACAAACCCCTGTGGCTGAACCATATACACGGTCTCACTCAGAACACCATTAAGAAAGGCATTACTGACATCAAGCTGAGAAATCGACCATCCACGAGCCAGAGCAACAGCCAAAACTGAGCGAATGGTGACCGGCTTAATGACCGAACTAAATGTATCAGTGTAATCAACCCCAAAAGACTGAGTAAAACCTCGAGCCACCAACCGAGCCTTATACCGCTCAATGGAGCCATCAGCATGGGTCTTAATCTTATAGAGCCATCGATTGCCGACAACATTGCCGGAGGAAGGAGGGGGAACTAAAGTCCATGTGTTATTTTGGAGGAGGGCGGAAATTTCATCCTTCATGGCATTCTGCCACTGAGGAAAGGATTTGGCTTGGGTGAAGGATGTAGGAGCAGTAGACAAAGCTGGGGAAACAGAGGTAAGATGAGCCGAGGGATCAAAGATTTTCTTGGGCTTGGGTTGTGGACGAAGGGTCATTGAGTGCTGACGGGAAGAAGGAGGAGGAGGTGGCGGCGGAGGACTGGAATCAGATGATGAAGAGCTGGATGTAGGAGACCTAGCTAAAGATGATGAGTCGGGAGGGATAGGAGGAGACGAAGGACCTGGTGTACTAGACGGAGACGAAGACGACGCAAGCATACCAGGATAACTGGTTACACGCAACCAAGGGGTAGCAAGAGACTCCAGCAGTGAAGAAGGAGAACTAGAAATAGGACGTTTAAAGGGAAAGAGTTTCTCATCAAACTCAACATGACGAGCAACAAAAAGACGGTTATTCACCACATCAAAACAGCGATAACCAAGATGAGATGGAGAATACCCAAGAAAGACACACTGAGTAGAACGAAAGGAGAATTTATGTTTATTATAAGGTCGAAGAAGAGGATAGACAGCGCAACCAAAGACACGAAGAAAGGTATAATCAGGTGGCTGGTGATATAGTGTAGTGAAGGGTAGGTGACCTTGAAGAGGTTTACTAGGGTGGCGATTAATAAAAAACACAGCAGTTTCAAAAGCAAAATCCCAAAACCGAAAAGGGGTACTGGAATGGCCAAGGAGAGCAAGTCCAATGTCGACAATGTGACGAATTTTGCGTTCAGCAGTGCCATTCTGCTCATGAGTGTGTGGGCGCCCTAAACGATGAACAATACCGACATCCTTAAAGAAAGAATTGAGAGAACGAAATTCACCACCCCAATCAGAGTTAACACTTTTAATGGTAGTGCCAAATTGGTTTTCTACGAGAGCTTTGAATTGCTTGAAAATATGGACAACATCACCTTTATACTTAATGGGATAAATCCATGTGAATACAGAGAAGTCATCAATAAAAAGCACAAAGTAGCGATAACCATTGAATGACAAAATAGGAGCACGACCCAAACATCAGTGTGAATTAAATCAAGAGGTTTAGAGCTACGATGAAAAGTAGAAGGTAAACTAACCCTATGCAACTTCCCTAAACAACACGCCTCACATTTATCAGTGGACGTGGACACAGAGGAATGAGGGAGTTGAAATTGCCTAACCAAAGTATAAAGAGTGACATTATTAGGATGCCCTAAACGAGCATGCCATTGACCTAAAGAGACAAGATAAGCTGCTGGAGACAAGGAACCACGAGTAGGAAAATCTAAGCGATAAAGACCATTATCAGCCCGACCGCGGAGGAGGAGTTCCTTGGTTGAAAGATCCTTAACACAACAAGAGTCAGAATAAAATTCAAAGAAACAGTGATTATCACGGGTAAACTTTTGAACAGATAACAGAGGCTTAGTAAGAGAAGGAGCATGCAAGACACGATTTAAATAAAGAGGACGAGTAAACGATGGCAAAACAGATTGACCAACATGCTGAATAGGTAAAGCATCTCCATTACCAACTAAAATATGATCCATACCAGTATAATTATTGGAGATACTGAGAGAGGACAAATCTGGCGTGACATGATCGGTAGCACCAGTGTCCGGATGCCAGGGAGTGACAGAAGGGGCATACTGCGCCATATGGGCTTGAGGAGACATAGTCGACTTCGGGTAAGACGGAAGAGGCAACAAACCAGCTGAAGGCGGTGCAGGAGAAACTGCCTGGGCATAAGCAGCCGACCGAACGGCAGGGGGTCGAGGAACAAAATTAGCATCAAAACGGCGTCGACAAGTGGCGGCCATGTGATTCAAGATGCCGCAAAGCTGACATGTCTCACCCGGGGTGGGAGGGGTGTACCCACACTGACCACCACCACGGCCAGAAGCCTGATTGCGCCGACCGCTGTGTTGCGAGCGACCGGCACGAGAGGATTGAGGCAGCATAGGAGAAAGTGGTGACTGCACAACTATGGCCGTGGACTGAAGGACCGGCTGTTGGGCATGAAGAAGAACCTCATACGAAACTAAGCTTGCGGAAGATTATGGCATTGAACTCCGCAGGAGATATGCGATGGCCGGCAAGCTGCAGTGTATCTGCGATGCCCTTTGCTTTGGAGAGGAGCGCCGTGACCGACAAGTCACCTTTTTGCAAGCTGTGGAGGTCCATAACAAGCTGGGTCTGTTGAGCATAAGAAAGAGTGCTGAAACCCTGCTGAAGAGTTGTCCATGCAGCCGCTGACGTTGTGCAGCCCTGGAGAACGGGAAAAATGTCTTCAGCAACGGAAGAAAGAATCCAAGAGAGGACCAGCTGATCCTTTTGCTGCCAGATATCAAACTCAGGATTGAGTTGGGGCGCGGCACCATTGACGGAAGGAAGAAAACGTGGCGGTGCAGGGTCGGTGCCGTCGACAATACCGGCAACACGAAACATAGTCAATAAAGGAGTAAACTGAAGACGCCAAGACGAATAGTTGGCTCGAGATTGCAGCTTCACAGTAAAAGAATGATTGAGAGATTGCAGACTAGGTTGAAAAAATGATACTGGTGTCTGTGAAGAAGATGCCGCCGGCCGAAGATGGGTAGCCTGGTCGGTGGATGAAAGGTCGGTGATAGTCATCGTGGAAGGTAAGCAAGCAAGACGTAATAAAGCCCAAGTGGTTTTTTTTTTTTTGGTTTTTTTGTTCTTTTTTGTTTTTTTTTTTTTGGTTTCCCGGTTTTGTGTTGTTTACACAAAGAAGCAGCAACTTAGAACGGAAGTAAACAAAGAACCAACTCAAAAAACCGAAGTAAAAAAAAAGGAAACAAAGAACCGAAGGAAAATCAAGAAGCAGCAGCAGGCGGGGAGCAACACCGGCAACAACAGGAACGACGACGCCGACCAGCAGCAGCAGGGAGCAGCAGCAGCACACCGGCAGCGACAGGAGATAGTAATGGACCGACAGCAGCAGCAGCAGCAGCTGGAAACTCCGACGAACGACAACAACGCCCGGAAACACCGGCAGCTCAGGAAGTCGACGAAGGCACACGCCGGCGAAGAACCAGTGTGTGGCAGCTAAGAACAGAAGAAAGCGGATGGAGTTCGCACGGCCGAAGAAGAAGGAGTCGGCGGCGGGGGAGAGAAAAGAGAGAGGAGAGAAAAAAAAAGGTTTTGTTAAACCTAGCTCTATACCAACTTAGAATAAGGAAATTGTATTGAATTTATGATCATGTTATGTACAATATACAGACTATATATAGACAATAACAAACCCTAAACAAGGACATATAGGAAATATACTAAATATTACAGTATCCTGGAGCGTCAAAATTCTCCAAAATTTACGCCTAAGTTTGAAGGTACTTTCAAGGTTCTTCGGCCAATTGGTAGAGTCGCCCATGAATTGAAACTTCTAGACACACCAATCCGACTGACCTTCCATATTCCATGGCTTCAACAACACCAAAGGGTTCTTCGAAATAGCACACAAGTTCTACCCACCAACATTGATTTGGATGTTTGTTTTGTCCCTCTGATTGATTTGGAAGAACAATTCACTTTGTAGAAAAGGAATGAAGGAATTCCCATAAAAGAATTTTTTAGATCTCACATGCATGATTAAAGATTGTGCTTCTTTTACGAGATAGTAGCATGCCATGGCTTAGTTTCTTAGGGCTTTGAGGACAAAGCCCAATTTGATGGGGAAAGTATTGTAATTTGAGAAGCAGTAAAATAGTATTTAGTCATGTTTTAATTATTTAATTATGTTTTATTGTAGGTTAATTAGTTAGTTATTTAAGTCATGTAATGGAATAGTCACGTTGCACTATTAGAAGTAGTGGGTTAGTTATCCTACTTTGTAGCATTAGAAGTCTATTTATATGTTGTGATCATATTTTAAAGAAAGAAGAAGAAAATATTGAAAACAAACTTTATTCTCCCTTTACTTTCTGGAGTTCAATCCCGACTCGAATAGGGATATAACAAATATAATAAAAATCAAATTCCAAAAGACGGGTTCAACACTATGAAAGATCTTTGTTGCGAAGATGGCAAAAAATAGAGAAAGCCGTCAAGAAATTGCGAGGATTGTATAAACAAGTGGAGAGTATGCATTCTAATGGTGCAAATGCAGAAGATTATGTACGTAAATAATATTTTTAATTTTGTTTTATTTATAATTTGATATATTTTTATCAATGGGTTAACAATTGTATAAATATTACTTTTAGCTTGATTGTGTAAGAAAATTATTTGTACTTCAGAAAGGATTTGAAAATGGGTTCAAATATGACCACGTTTGGAATTTGCTCAAAAATTTTATAAAATATAATGATGGTGTCACGTAAGCACAACACATGTTCAATCAAACCTCCAACTTGTATCATCTGAATATGATAATCCAACACCTGAATCTTAGGTACCTGAATCCTATCCTGTCTAACTTTGATTCCCAAATGATGATTGAGAGTGATACTAACGGATCTTCTTCCAAAAGACCTATTGGTGTGAAAAAAAAACAACATAAGAGAAAAATGGATGAATAATCTGCTCGTAAAATGGAAATGTTTAGAGAAGAGAATCAAACAGTTTCTTGATGTTAAAAAAGACAATTGAAGATCAAAAAGAGTAGATACTTATAGCACTACAGAAGCAAAGTTGGCTTTGAATCAATAGAGGGAAGAAAATAGAATTATGGCACAAGATGTAACCAAAATTACAGATCGTATTAATCATTCTTTTATTATGGTGAAAGAGAACGAATTCTTCAACGACGATTGGCGCAAATGCAACCACCACCAAATACTACTTTTAGCAATCTATTCAACAAGGTTGGCGGGGATGCAGCTAATCTAGGGGATGATTTTTTGTAGTTTATTCATGTTAATTAATTAAGCATTTTATTTAATTTCTTAATAAGTGTGCAAGTATGTTTGATTTGTTGAATGTTGTTTTACTTTTTGGCAATTTTGTTGTTTTTATATTGATGTACAGTGTGTTTTATTTACTGTAATGCTATTTGATTACAATAATTTTATTTTTATTCTAGTATCACATCATTTATTATTTACTCCTAATAATCGAAATACCCCAAAGAAACGCGAAGGAGAAGTTGTTTGGTGTTTGACGAAATATCCCAAAGAAAAAGGAGCAATACTGACACTGGAAATTCTACTTCGCCAGAGTAGCATCCTTTTGGGCGCGTAACTCAATTACTGGTAACAGAGATGATTGGAGGTGAAGTTAGGATGCGAGAAATTATTTCTTATAGGAACCGAAGCTATTCTCTTCGGAAACTTTTCTTTTTCTATATCGCCTGAAATATTATCATATGATTAAACTTGCACCCATTAAAAGAATTGTTGTAAGAATCTAATAATAAGAAGGCCACAAATTCAACTTGATCAATTTATATGTCGTCAATATTTTTGGGTTTCAATATGTTTTTACTAACCAAGTTACCAAACTCACATAAAATATTCTCAAACATCTGTACTCATCAATGATAATGAAGTTATTAATTCTTATAGTAAAGTTTATTAATTAAGAATGTTAAATAAGTTAATTTATAATTTTGAAACCTCCAATTATTAAACTTGCTTAAAGCCTCCAAAAATGTTGAGTCGTCCTTGCCCACGCTGCGATAGGCACATGAGGTAAATCATTCTAGAGAAATCCTAAGGGACATGTTATCGAATGGGAAAACCAGCTTCAGAGCGTCGATCAAAATCACATTAGAAAAACAAAATCAAATTTGAAAAATTCCACTAATTAATTTGATGAAAATGTTTTTAACAAAATATACAATAAAATATGCAAAAACTTTTCTGTCCTCAAAAAATAGTTCACATTGAATTTTTAGATTGTAAAACTCAATACTTGATGTGAACTATTTTTTCTAGGGCGGAGAGATTAATAACAATTAATATTGAGCAATAAGATTACATTATTTTTCATCTTTTGTCTACAACAAAAAGATTTGTGTGCTGTCTTACGATCAGAATGCGCGCATAATAAGTTAACTAAAACGGGGAAAAACCTTTTTTTAATGTGTGAATTAATCGTATTGAAAAAATGGTAAAAACAAAAAGACTACTATATTGGAAACGGTAAAAAGCAAATAATTTAGCTAAAGAAAAAAACTTTGAGTGTGAAACCAGATAAAATTTTCTCTTTTATGCGAAGCGCGGATTTAGATTTCCTTTTCTTTAAATAAAGAAACAATAATAAGATTATCAAAAAAAAAAAAAAAAAAAAAATAATAAGATAGGTTTAAGAGATCTCCAAAGATATAGGAAATTTTCTTCTCTTTTCTTGTCTAAAAGAAAAAATAAGGAAATGTTTATTGAGGTAAATTTCCATATTTCATCAATGTTTTCCGTTTTTCGTTCTAGGCTGCCTCTTTGCAGCGATGTGATAGGGAAAAAAGAACGAGCTGATTGGAATCCCGGTACAAAATTAAAAGCAACCAATACTAGGACTCTGAAGATACGGAGTACAGTATTATTTTTTCTTTGTTTAGGACAGGTTCCATGGAGGCAGGCGACAACCGGAGGGAAACATTGCTGCCCATAACGAGTAGTAGTAGTCAGTCTCATGAGTTGGATGAGTTGAAGCGTTGTATGTGGTGGTTAAAGTGGGTGTCGGAAGATAGTGGATGGACAACCTTTCTGTCTTGGTTGGCGTTCATCGTTTTTGCCATCGCTGTGCCTTGTTTATCTCACTTCTATCTCGCTTGCAGCGATTGCGACAGCAACCACAGCCGGCCTTACGATGCGATCGTCCAGCTTTCACTCAGTGCCGTCGCGGCCCTCTCTTTTGCCTGTCTCTCTCAGTTCTCCAGGCGATACGGCTTCCAGCGTTTCCTGTTCGTGGACCGGCTTTATGAGGAGAGCGAAACGGTCCAAAAAGGATACACGGCGGAACTTAACACGTCGTTTCGTATGTTGTTGATCTTGGTAGTACCTTGTTTCTTAGTGGAGTCCGCGTACAAGATCTGGTGGTACGCTTCGGGCAGTGGGACCCGCGTTCCCTATAAAGTAGGGAATACGGTCCTCTTGAGCGACACTTTCGCGTGCATCATCGAACTTGGTTCGTGGCTGTACAGAACGGTGTTGTTCTTCTTGGTGTGCGTGTTGTTCCGCTTAATCTGCTTCCTTCAGATTTTCCGATTGCAACACTTTTCGTCGCAAGTCTTCAAATTGGATTCCGATGACGTTGTGTCGATATTAAGAGAACACATTAGGATCAAGAGGCACTTGCGAGTCATAAGTCATAGATACCGGCTGTTTATAACATTGACATTAATTTTGATCACGGTGAGCGGATTCTTGTCTTTGCTTATGGTTACTCGCCCGAGTGCGCAACTTAACCTTTACGAAACCGGCGAACTCGTCGTGTGTTCTGTCAGTCTCATTGCCGGTTTAGTGATCATCTTTAACAGTGCGACTAAAATCACGCATAAAGGCCAAGCTCTAACCAGCCTGGCCGCCAAATGGAGCGTTTGCGCCGAGGTCAAATCGTTCGATAACGCCGAGGAAGCAGAGACTCCGGTAGTTGCTCGGAACCACGTTTTTGATGATGATGATGTAGGTGATGAGGAGGAGGAGGACGAGATTGACAACACCGACGATGTCATGTTGTTTAACAGTAGTACCATGGATTTCCAGAAGAGACAAGCCTTGGTGACGTATTTTGAGAACAACGTAGCTGGAATTACGCTGTATGGGTTTATGCTGGACAGGACTTATTGCGCGAATGTCTTGTTTGGTGTAGAGTTCTCTCTTTTGCTTTGGCTGCTTGGAAAGACGATTGGTATCTCTTAGAGTTTTAGTTATTACAAGCTTAGAATTTTTTGGTTCGTTGCGATGAAGAGCGTTTGCAATTTTGGAGAGAGATTATGAGGTTTGTTTGTTTGTTTTTTTTTTTTTTTTAAAAAAAAAATTTAGATTATCGCAAAAAGAATCGATCTCGTAGTTATATGTTGCCTATTCATTTCTTGTTAAATGTTGATTCATGTTTGCTGTTCTTTTGTTTATTTAAGCTTTGGATTTTCTGGTGGTAATAGATACACAAGTAGCTGATCCAAATATAAATCTCATTCTCCATCACATTCAATTGATCAAGGGTTTTTTTTTTTTTTTCCTTTCTCCTAATTCACAAATAAATTGTCGAAGTTTGTACCTCAATTTCAATGTAATAGTAAGAATTTACTCACCCATGCACCCACCCATCTTCCCCTCCCAAGTCATTTGTCGTATAATAGAAACAACTTGTAAAAAAAAAGAAAATACTAAGAAATTACATCGATTTGTGTTTAATTTTTGTCATCCCGGCAAGTTTTGAACCCGACTTCACTTCATCATCTCCGCTCTTCAATTTCTTTTGGGAATTTCATTTGCATTACAACAAAATAATTTAAAATGTGTACAAGTTGTATGAACTTGTCGCATCAAATCCGAAAAACCACGCAGTGAATGCACTCGCATTTCAAGTGATTGCATGAGTGATATTAGGAAATAGTAGAAATTGCGAATAGATTAACTAAAAAAGCTCTGCGGCCTCCTACATAACCCTGTTTTCTGGCTTCATTTAGAAACCTACTCATTGATATGCAAAACAAAGAATGGTCATGGTCAAAACAAAGTTAGGTTTGCAAGAGTATTTTTGTACCTGTATTGTTGAAATTCCACATGCCAAAAAAAAAAAAAAAAAAAAGAGGAGAAAATCTGTTACTATTCAAACACTTCACACCATAAAATATTACAAGACATCAGACCTCGAAACAAATTTTGTTAGTCTATACATGTTCTGCAATAAACACATCTTCTTTTTCAAACTTACAATACACAACATATCTTTTAAGATCTAAAATATCTTCACCTTAAAACTGCTAAATCGAATTGAGATCATGCATAGAATCCAAATTAGCAACTGAACTGCTGTCAAGATGCACCTTGAGATCCCCATAGTGATTGCAGCTTGTAATCCAAATAAACAAGCTAAGCTTTCAGGTTGGAGTGCAGTATCTGCCAAGAACTTTTTATACCCATATGATAGACACATAACTTTAACTCAATCAAACCTTTAATTTCACAAATTCCTTCATCTATCTGTCAAGAATTCAACTGATCTTCGAATTCTATATATTTATTTTCTTTAAAAGGAAAAGAAAAAAGTAGAAGAAAAAGAACCCTATGGTTCATCAACAAATGAAGGATGTATTACAGGGAAGATACAAGTTCTAGTCAGGGAGCCAATCGGTCAATTTTCCATACCCTGCTACCACCAATCTCCTTTGGAGTATACCGCAACCTGGAAATCAAGTGACATTTAGCACTAGTAAATTAAGAAAAAGCAACAATCTGGAGTTAAGTTATCTGAAAATGCCATTCACACTCTACTAATCAAGACTGTAAATTAAAAAATTTAGAGCTCAGAGACATTAATGCACTTTATTACTAGTTTGATATTCCACTACCTTTTAGTTTCTAGTGCAACTTTCAAATCACATGATAGCACTAGTACAGGAATACAATTTACATGCAAATACAGGAAAATCTCTTATCAGAGCATCAAGAAATGGTACGAATTGCCTGTATGAGACAAAAGATATTCGTCCAGACACGAGAGATACTTCTAACTTTACAACTAACCTCTCCTTAAATCCATACTCACATCAATCCTCACACCATATGTAGATCAAAACATTTACGAAATATAGGACAAGGGTTTAATAACTAATGCAATATTTCAGACATGTTTTGGGGTGGGGGAACACCACAAGTCAAATGACATCTTATATTTTCAAATGACATCAAATGATATATTTAACCAACTTAGTCCAACTCTTTGATCCTTCTTCCTAGCCCCTCCTCTGTGACAATCAATGGTCTGAGTCGGTCACACATTCCACCATTTGGTTGGAACAAAAGTCGGAAAACTATTTCAGTTAAAAGATTAATCCATCTTCAAACTTGTATATAAAATAGTAACAAAAACTCACGAACAGTAAATTGTTGCAACTAAAAGAATACCAACCTTGCTAACCACTGAAGCTTATCGGGTGAATGTACACAATAACTACGCATCTCGAAGATAAGTATCTATGTTCAAAATCCTAACCTTAAACAATTAAATATATTTTTGAAACACATCTTTACCATATAAAACTATCATTTCTGTTACTCACAAACAACGTACTTATGCCTGCATATATTTGTCAATAGTTAAGATAATGATAATTTACCCCTGAGACTCCAATGACGGTATCCAAGCACGGTCATATATAGGGTTTCCTATATAAAGCATCATTAGGAGCTTTTGCGCTCAAAAACTCTATGGTCAAGATACATGATACATGGACAGGGAACATTCAGTTTTAGTTGCATGAAAGTCATGTAGAAAGATCAGAGATAGAGAGTCTGTCAACAGACATGGTCCAAAGAAATCCACATGCCACTTCGGATACGTAGAACTCCGCCCATATAAAAGTGAAATGGTCCTTAAAAATGGCTGTCTAAATACCTGTCGTGCAAACGAGATTTCTGTCCCTGCCAAAACTCAAAAACTTCAGGTTTGAGCCTGTATCCTCCCCAGTTCTTTGGTTTAGGGATTGGGCCCCTTGAAAGACAACGATAAAAGATTTAGTAAGTAAAGATGGAACAGTCCTAAGATTGAGAAAAAGAGAATATACAGAAAATAAAAAACAGCTCAATTCGACAGAAAGAGGCCCAAGAACTTGACAAGCACAAGCACAAGATCGCTGAAGAAAAAAGGGGTACACGTCATACATTATCACATACTTTCAGACAGAGAACACAGTTTACAGTAAAATCACCTTGTGAAGTGACTCACAAATCATGTGCACAGCAAAAAAGAAGAAAGCACTAATTACACTCACGAAGAAATCAATTTCACATCATTTCTCGAGCTATTCCTCGAGAGAATCAATACTCTTACACATAAATAAGGAACCATTGGTCAAAATCTGGGAATCGATAAAAGAGGTTTCAGAAAAGAAAAAAATACAGAATCTGTTTAAAAAAAACTCTACACTAATAATGAAAAATAACAAACAACAAAAAGGATAAGTATGCACAGGCTTGAACTCTGGTGCTTAATGGGGAATGCACATCTTTAAAGTAAAAAGCATGAGGTCAAGCTCTTTACAAGAACGAAATAAAGATATTGAGAATGAGAAAGAATCATCAGGTAGCCTCTCCTACATAGTAGTGGAATCAACACTAACCCTGAGTATTTTGCTTCCAAATCCTGGTAAACTTGGTGAAGATACTGCCGATTAGGTATTACAGAACTCTGGAATAAAAAATATCGTGTTTAGCTTTTCTTCTGAGAAAATCAAATGAAAAGATTTCTTAGGTCACTAGTTCAGCAGTCTCTCTGTCTGAAAGCAGTAGCATAGAAAACCTGATTACTGGCTATGGCTCCAATCTGACTTCCACGTGGCCGGCTATGAAAATACTGTTCAGATTCTGCTTCAGATACTTTCGCCACAGGACCTTCGATTCTCACCTGGATACAATAGTTTAGACCCAAAAAACCAGTAAGACATGAGAATTATCTCCAAGAAATAAGTAGCATCACAATTAAACAAAGCCATAGAGATGAAAAGGGTACAGAAACAATGCATCGATATTAGTTATCAAGGAGTCAACAGAAACTACCCACTATCATATTTTCTGAATTCAAACCTGACTTCAAACCCAAAAACTTAAATTTCAACTTATCCTATTACTTTGGCGAGATCTAACTGCAAAGTCAAATACTTAAATTTCATCCATAACCCATAGAGGTGTAATTTGCTTTAGTGAACTGGGTGAGGAAGGTATGTCATCCACAATACTTTTCCAGAATAAATCATCTTATGAGCCATCAACTTCAAATAATTTTCTTGATACCAGGAGAAACGAATATCCAAGATATTATCCAATCTCATCCTCGGAAACAACATAAGATGCACTCGATGGAGTCAAAATAGACATCTCATGTTATCATAATTACGTGATGCTCAAGCAGTAAAATTAAGCCAAGACAACTAATCCCACCCTTGAAAAGAATTTATGCAAAAGAAATAGTTTTAATGATATATTGATTCCTGGTGCTATCAGGCATTTCTTCAATGATATGGTCAAAATCAGATGAACAAAGAAATAGTACCGCGTTAGGACTCACAGTTAGTGTATGAGTTTTTACAAGGAACATAAGTTACTCAAAGAATTCAAAATAAAGAACACATCCATTTTAAAAAGAACAATTCATCACTCATATGGAAAAGGACTCATCCCATTTTACAAGAACCTGCCCTTGGACTTTTAGTAACAGTCAGACCAACATAAGATAGGACTAATAAGACACCAGATTGAACCAACGCAGAAAACAACTTACAAATAGAGTTAACAGAACATTTAGTTTGATATGATCCATTTTGACCAAACAATCTCCGGGACAAGTTTTACCACGCTTCAATCCCAACATGGCTAATGCTAATTTGGTAATTCACATACACGGAAAAAGAAAAAGAGCCATGGATTTTTATGGAGTGCCTCCTCAATTGTACAACCAAAAAAAAAAAACCGAAAGAAAAGTAACATAGCTTAGTGATATAATGCTGTATGTTAGGACTAATGCAAACAACAAAAATCTACCTGGCGATTCAAAGCATCCCAGTAAAAAAGAAGAGATGCACGAGGATTTTCAGATATGTCACGGGCCTTCTGACTTTCATAATTGGTATACCTGCTCAGAAAATAAGTTACCCAATATTAATGTTGCTGAATTAAAAATCCAAAAACCATGCATAATAAAGGGCTTCTACTAACCAAACAAAGCCTTCTTTGTCAAAACCTTTTAGTAGAACCATTCGTGAAGATCTGCAAGAAGTTAGAAAAAATGCATAACTACAGGAATCTAGATCCACAAATCTTAAAATTTAGAATTTTGATGCCACAGTAATAAAAGTGAAATGCGCCCAATATCAGTTTCTGAAGAAACCACAAAAAGGTAAAACACTACTTCAACCAACTACAGTGCATAAGGCTCTGTTTGGAATATACTCTCACATAGAAAAACTTAACTTTAAATCTTAAAAATGATACATCCAGATAACTACAAATGTATTAAGATAGAAGACTTCAATCCCCTCACAACTATAGAAAATTTTTAAACTTCTTCCCATTTCCTCCAACAGAATTCTTCTCAACAAAAGCGCCCTATAAAATTTCTCTTCTAAGCAAATTTCCCTCAAGAAAAAACATAGAGAAACAAAGCCCACACATTTATTCATATACAAGAGGCTCTATGGTTCATATTTTGCCATCACGGTTCATATTTTGCCGCCATGTTCCATTAAGAATCTAATTTAGGATTAGATAAATATTAAATAGAATATCTAAGAATTTTCTTTCCTTCTTTATGTGAGATACGAACCATATCTTTAATAGCAGGTCCTCTCATTATCACTACACAGAAAGAAAAAGAAAACGAGACTACTATGACCAAAAAGCAAAATTAAAATATTCCATTAGCAAAGGAAAAAGAGTAAATGATCTAAAACTAATAAGCATACAATAAGAGTATATCTTATAGAACAAAAACAATCCTCCATCTCACATCACATACATGCAATTGGTGTTAATGATAATACTCAAGAAAGTATAAATTTCTTTTTAAAGTGAATAAAATTGCAGCAGGTAAACCATGTAGCTCACAAATGTAAAGGATATAGACCTAATATATTAACAATGATGACTTAACTTGTATCTTCTCTATTCTCAGGTAAAAGAAAACAATCAGCCAATTGTTATTATTTTCAAATTTCATATCTCTATGAAATAACAAGTCCTACAAGTCTTTCCAGATTCAAATTCCAGATGGATACTAATCGGATGAAACATCACAAGTTTACACATGCTAGGAAAATTGAATGGTTACCCAACTATAAATGAAGAAAGTAAGTGCCACAGAGAAACTCACAGATTCCTATCACTGCCAGCAGTTGATAGGGACATTGCATTTGGTTCCTTCAAACCTGCTGCCATAGCATCATCAAACCACTTCTGGAACTGCAAGAAAAAATTCAATTCAAATCTCTAAATTAACTGGTGAGTATATTAAACTATTACAAATACCTCAGGAAAAAATTATCTAGATCGAAATTCCAAATAAACTAGGACAAATTTAAGATTGACAAGAGACATACCTGATCAAAAGGATCAGCCTCAACTTGCTCTTCAAGCAATTCTGGAGAAATATAATTCTCTCTCAGAGCTGATATATCAACTTTCGGTGGCTTTCCTATACGGACACACATAGACGTGCCAGGGTAAGCTGGAAGTTGGAGCTTGAACTTCTCAACGATAGGCGGTGGAACAAATCTACCACCCAAAAAGTGGTGTGGACCGGAAAACATTTTGGCACATAACTTTGGAGCCGTTAAAGAAACCTGTCCAAAAGCCTCATATACTTTAAAAAGAGTTTCAGAGCCATTTTTCAGCAGCTAAGTAAAAGAAGACACAAGTATTTATATAGAATATTCTCTGTCAACAGACAAGACTACCAGCATGTCAGGTTTAATGCCATCACCACTTGAATCTCCTTCTTCAACATGCCATCCTGACGGAATATCTACGGATACAATTGCAGGTGATTTTGAAGGTCTTAAATCTGGATTCGACAAGTTCACCAGTTTCTTGATCATATCATCAAAAGGGGGCCTTGGGGTACCTAAAAAATGAGTTGAAAATACAAATGTTACTCAAAGGAATCGTCACAATTAGGGACTTTCTCGAAAAAAATTCAAACATTCCTTAAACGTAGAAACTTTAGGGACAGTAGACATTGCTTGTATACCATAGTTTACGTCCGTAAAAAGATCAACAAAGCACACAACATTTGATTAATTATCTACTCCCCCCCCCCAAAAAAAAAAAAAAAAAACACACACAACAAATGTTAGAAATATTTGGAACTTAAATCTTCAAGATGTGCACAGCCAAAAGCCAATCTACTTTAATATCCCACTCCTGGCATCTCTTATAAGATTTTAGACATAAGTTTGTTTTAATAAATTCAGCATTACTCTCGTTTAGACATTCCTCTCGCATCATTTCTTTGAAAATACTTCCTTTCCTCCAACAACTTTTTCTCTCCGTCTTGAAACAAAAGAAAATGTGGACTCCTCCAAAACTACTTACCTCCCAAAGGTAAGTATCCTCAAAAAGGCACTATCCAAATAAAGCCATAGAAAACACTGGAACTTCCAAAGCAATAATTTTAAATATGAGAGCCTAAGACACTTATCACAATTAAGTCTACTTCAATTTCAAATAGGCTTAAAACATAACAAATTGACACCTTTGTGAAAGATCCATCCCTCCTAAACTGCATAAACAGAATCACACAAGCCCAAGTCTAGATGAACATCCATGAATCAAGGTAATTGGTCTATAAATCATAAAACTTAGAAAACAATAGCCTACAAATGAAGAATAAGGCAAACATGAACAAAAACAAGAAACTGTTAAAACATGAGAACATGTACCATGGAAGGAAAATCCAAATACTGCATCAATCAAAATGTCAAAGCTGTCGGACAAATCCATGGGCAGGTCTTCCACTGACAGGAAAGGAACTGACAGTGACTCAAGCTACAAAAATGACCATAATAAGAACCACTGATAAAAATATACTCCTACAACTAACTAAGTGTTGATCCCACTACGTGGTTATGGCCAATTGCTGATCAAGAATTGCAATTAGAAATCAGCTATACCTGTGTGACCAAACAATTATAAAGAGGCTTTGGAGTTCGCTTTGGGTAACAAACATAAGGCTTATAACCAAAATGATACAGATGACGAGCAGCCACAAGTCCATCACCACCATTATTGCCAGGACCGCATATAGCAAGAACACGATTGTGTTCATTTGGTTTGTAAACCTGCAAAACAGAATTACAAAACATAGAGTGATTTTTCCTTGAAAGGTCTTTTACATCCTAACTTGAATCACTGGTCTAGAGAATGGTATGCCAACCATATTTTGTAATCTTGAAAAGCTAAAGATAAATACTGAGAACATGTTACCAATTTTAGTAGTTATGATGCATCCTACATATGATAATCATATATTTGTTACTTCTTTTCCCTCTACTAAATTTTCAAGGAGTTTTCCAGATGAACACGGAACGCCTCTTTCTGCTCATGCCAACATTGCCTTTAAGAAACAAAATAAAGCAAATCATGTTCTGTAGTTTTTATAAAACCAGAGTTTGCAACACCTAAGTGCAACCCTTGATAAACTCCGATATTTCAAGCCTACTAAGAAAACGGAAGTGTGGTGAAACATCAAAAGCAAATTTACTACAAAAACTGACCAAGAACAACTTACTTCAGCTATAGCAGTGGCAACACTCAGACCAGCCAATTCCTAAAATCCCAAAAGCAAACAAAATTCAATTGAGCACAGAACTAAACTGGAGGGAAATAATCCATAAAAAAAAAGGTCAGAAAAACGAAAGTAAAAAAAGAAAACAAAAATTGATAACCATAAGCTGATCAACGCTGAAGCCAAGAGGCCCCATGAGAATCTCATCAATCTCTGCAGCTTCTTGCTGTCGCAAATAGGATATGCTTTGAGGGTCCTGAACTCCATTCACAGACGCCATGACTACACCGGAGCAATATCGTCGAGAATTCCAATTCCAATTCCACCACGAATTCGAAGCTATAAACCTCTGCAATTGTTACACAAAGAATGGATTAATAAAGATACAATTCTTACATCAAAGAATAACTACATTGCATAAAATAGACAAATATACACTAAAGAGAGAATTACCGGAAGGGGAAGGAGAGAAACAGGGCTCTGGAGTGAGGTTAAATTCGTTTTAGCTTGAGACAAATGTTGATGCTGCTGGACAAATTTGATGGGAAGCAGTTGATTGAGAAGGAGTGGAGATATTGGAACAAAAGTTCGGCAAGTGAAAATCATGAAGAAAAAGAAGCAGAGTGGGGAAAAAACCCCGACCGGATGGATGATTGAAGATGACTTAAAACCACGAAGTAGAAGTGGTAAGGCAATTGGGAGATAAAAACTGAGGGCGGGCAGCAGGGTTGTCGAGGGGCTTCTTCGTGGGTTTCATCTCTCCCGGATCACAAAACAAAAACTGCCGATAAGAAGAAATATATAAAATTAAAATCCCGATATCAAAACAACGTCCTTTTGGCAGTCAGGCGTTCAGTTTCAAGCGTTTTTTAGTTTAAAACTAATCTTTTACATGTGGCGCGACTTTATCGAATCATTTTATACCATTCACCTTATTAAAAGTGATAAGTTACGGTGAATTTAAATTAAATAGAATGTTTGAAAAATCTTAAAATGTTTGACTAAGGAAATGCATACATATGTGAAACTTTTTACCTAATGGACTTCCAAAAAGGAAAAATGAAATCATTCAATTACAAATGAAATAGATCATTGCGTGAGTAAAAATCCAATGGAATAGACACATCATGTTTGAAAACTCTTCCATTGGGCAAACATGATAAAATTGTGTACATGGATATTCTCTTTATAATTTGTGATATTAATTTTAATTTTCGTAAAAGTTTGTTTTAAATTTTGATTTTGGTGTTGTAAAAATGATCAAAACCAAATACTATGATTTTGGTTTTGTTTTGGGTTACCATTTTGATTTTGGAGTCGTTGATATTTTATTCTATATTTATTTGTACTTTATCATGTGATATGACAAATAAATGATCATGTAACTAACAATTTAATACTTGACAATTGTGAAACAAAATCAAAATAATTTTGCGATTATGTAGTCTATATTATACGTATTTTGATTTATATTTGTACCAAAATAATTAGCTAGGGTGAAGTAGTTCCCTCAGTGCATTGACATCAATTTCATTTCCCTTCTCTGCAATAGGATTCCTCTTTATTTTTTTTAATTCCTCCGATACCACTATTTTAACTCTATCGATGGAGTTCAGTAGTTTCTTCTATGGTATGAAACCTGATATCAAACAATATCTTCGGCATTGATATGGAAAGACTCTGGCTACAACCTTTTTTTACACAGAAATATATATCCCAAACAAACAGTCTATTTATATCTAATGCCGATTTCGCTTGCGTATCCGCACAGAGGTTGCTAGCTCGAGAAGTGTGTTCGAAGCGAACTTCTTAATTGAAAGACAAAAGTTCATGGATGTGCCTAAGGTCTAGATCCAGAAAAACTATAGAGCTTTGTTTCACTTTTTTGGAGTAGCTCTATAGCCACACTCGAATCGGATTCCACCAGCAACTGTAGGAATCACTGATTTTTAGAGTTTTCATAGCCAACAGAATGGCCCTGATTTCTGCAGTTTCAATTGAACGTGTCCCTAATGGCATACAAGCAGCACTCAAAAATCTTCCTTGGTCATTTTTTATGATAACTCATGCAGCTGCCTTTTGTGAAAAATTATATACCGATCGCAATAAGCCTTGACCCAAGCCGTCGGTGGTATTTTGAAGTTGGGACACTCCTTTTGCTTCTCTCCCTCCTTTTTCCACCTAAGGATGGTTTTGTTCCTTCTGATTTCATCCGTACGGTATGAAACAATTCTCACTGCCTTTTCTGTTATGAAGCTACTACCATTGAACCCTTGATCATTACACCAATTCCAAATTGACCAGTATGTTGTCCCAAACTTAATTCTCTACTTCCAATCATCATCATCCAAATTCGAACGCAACCATTCTTTTAACTCCTGCTGATGAGCTTTTTAGTGATGGCAAAATCTTCCCAATTGAAGTTAAGAGGAAATCAGTCTCACCCCACCAAAGAAGCCATTTTTTTCAGAGCCCTAAAATTCTTATGAGGAAAGTTGTGTTAGAATACTTGTATATATTAACATTTTCCCACGATAGCACTGCTACATAACAAATGAATATGCAAGTTTAGCCTTTCCATTCTAGAAATTACTCTCAAGCTGTAGTGAAGCAAATTCAGTCATCAAAGTGTTCAAAAGGACGCCTATGTAGCCTAATACACAAGATCAAATACATTGTAGATCAAGTGAATCAAGATAAATTTAAAATGCTTTTTTCAGCTTCGCAAAGTAGTTTAAAAAGACATTTCATAGTGCTTTTTACAGCTATGCTTTAAAGTTACAGACAGAGAATGTTAATACTAATATTGCATGCTTCATCAACCAGTTTGGAGAACATCTAATAGGACTCATATTTGATATGTGCCTAATTTGAAACTCTTAAGCTAGCCAAATTCATGAACCAAAGAAACATGTTATCCAAGCAGAGTCCTCAATTTTGAAGCTAAGGCTCCATCCAAATACTTCATTGGCTCAAAATTAGGGTTATACATGTTCACAAAATGAGACTTTTATTTTTGGAAATAAGTAATAAACAGAAGGAAAAAATAAATTTCAAAGAGACCTTTAGATGCAGTATTCACACACATACCGTTTGATCAGTCGTTTATATTCAGATCAATTATTTTATTTCCATTTTGGGGAGCACCAGCTTTGTCCGCAGCCTATTCTGCAACCTTTTTTGCACCAGCTCCCTGCCTAGCCAAACTCTTCCATTGTAACTCGAAGAGCGAGATAAGTTCGGGATCCAAATCAGAATCCACTCCAAATTCAAACCAGATCCGACAAATGCTGCAGCTATAACAGCAGCAAAGCCGTTCCCACCCTTCCTATCATTATTAAAGATGGGAAAGCTGCAAATGAAGAAAATGATCAATTCATTGATACATGATTGAATTTTAATTTAGTAGAAGAGCACAAGAAACCTTGTAAGGACAATAGAAAGAACTGGGATAGGAGAAACGCTCAATATCAGACCCTATACAACTTGAAAAGGTATGATGCATTTCAGCCAAGAAAAAAGAAAAAGAAAAAGAAAATGGTATGATGAATTGATATACCTTCACAACCCTTTAAAAAATTTTCCACAACCCTTTCGCCTTTAGTTAAACACACAGAATTAATGTTACTTCTCGCAACTACAAGTTAAAAGGGAAAAAGACAAGAAAATAACATAGTATTTTTTTTTAATCAGACCCCTTGGAAGGAATGCCAAAGCTAATTCTTCATCATCATCGTCATCTAGGTCTTCGTCATTAATCCTTCGTATATATCCTTCCTTGATCGCTGAGATCAAAATGTTTGAATCAGATTAAAAAAAAAGTTTACCTCAAGAAAACAAAATAAACTGAAACCAAAGGACAAAGGATAAGTTGGAAAATATAAGACTTATCTTAAATATGGATCTTATAAGAGCTTCATCTTGTTCATTCAGCTTTCTTTCCTGTCAACATAAGCATTGTAATTACACGTTAAATCCCGTTTAGATTGAGAAGCTTTATTCAGCTACATATAATAGAGCACTGAGAGCAAAGACATCCATGTTTTCCACTTAAACATTACGTATCTAGTATGTTGTCCAATACTTAATATGTATCTATATATGAGATTTGCAAGCAAATAACTTGGTCAAATTACACACATGAGTAAGTAACATAGATCAACACAATCTTAAAAAGGTTCTATGGAATGCCTTTAATTGGAATAAGGGGCCTTACAATAGGAACACTGAGCCACAATCTAAAAGAGACTTGATAGTATATCTAGCCCATGTTTGAACAGGAATAAGTTTATCTATAACCCAATTCTGTGCCATACCTACATGTTTAGACGCTTGCATGGTACATCAGATACCCCATGACCAAACAATGTTGTTTCCCAAAGAGGAATGCATGGTTGAACCTTAGGTTTCAAAACCATTTCAGCCTAAGTCCAATGATATTATAAAAGGAATGCATCAAGGAAATCAAAATAAACTTGCAAAAACCAGTTTCTTAATGTGTTCTTTTAAATAATATAGAACATAAGAACATATTAACAATAACATTAGTGTCAAAAATATATTGCAATTATTTAGCAAGTCTGAAGGATGTAAATTTCAAACGTAAAACCAGATAGATTTCAGAAATTTAATATTTAAATTAAGATGAGAACTTTTTAAAGACAGACAAATAGAATGCATTCAAGACTGAAAACACCAGCGTCAACCTCGTAGCTTGCCCTCCTTCGAGTGTTGCAGAATATCAAGCATAGCCTCCACGCTGACAGTTGTTTGTCTTGGCTGAAAATAAAAGAAGGAAAATACATAAAGAGAGAAAATGTGTAACCAGGTTTCAGGATCTAACACCAGCAACTATATTAACATCAGGTGCTCTAACGTATGAGATATACATAATTGAAGGTAGAATAATAAATACGGTCGAATTAGCAGGACTAATCCAACTCAAAAGAAAGCAAAGGCAGTCTGCTTTCGGTTCCAGCATAAATCCAACCATCTTACTTAAATTCTAAAATCAAGGAAAACCCCTTACAATAAACAAAAATTATAGAGAACTAATCCAAACTTTTCACTACCCTTCAAAAATCCACATGAAAACTCTAATAACAGAGCTATTTAGAACCTGCCACTGCCGGCAGACACCAGAAAATCAAAATTCAATATTCCGGGGAAGAATAAAGGCACACAAGTTTGAAAAAATTCACCTTTAAAGCGATCTAATCGGACAGATCAAAGTCAATCCAAGGTTTAAAATTCAGCAGAATGTTTAAATTTGTCGAAGAGGGATTACAAAAGAGAAGTAAATAACGGAGATTGAATACAAATTTGAGAGGAAGGAAGAATCAGGCAGGAGCTCGGGAGGTCAATATCATCAGAGATCATGTCACAATAAATGAAAAAAACTCAGACAAGTAAAGCGCTTATCTATCCCTTCTACATCTATCATAAAATAACCCACCCGGCTACAACACAAAGCATCATGCAGAAGGAACAGTTATCCCAAATTCAACAAACTACAGGAAACTAATATTCAACGTGCTAAAATTCAATCTTTCTATCAGATACCTTAGAAGTGTGGTCCTCAGTATCCATAAACAAAGCCAGTATCTCCTACGCCTCTGAAACTTGTCAGTCTATACCGATCACCTCTATTTACTACTTTTACTCTGCTCGAGAACACCTCCATCGAGGACAGTGGAAATATCATATCGAAAGCGGGTAGGATTGAAAAAGGAAACGCAAAGCCTTCAAATTGTATCTCCTCCACCGAACGGCGAAGAGAACAACCCCGAATTGGGAAAAAATGGATACAATCCAATGTAAGCATTGTAATTATTAGGGAAAACAGATTTTGTAGTTC